ATTTTGAAATAATTTTGTTTTGTCTCCTGCTCTCATTTGGTTGCTGTCCTGTATTTGTGCCGAACAGGCGCCACCTATGCTATTGTTAGACACTCAGATCATTAAAGGTCTAGCAGCAGTGACATTTTACAAGCAGCTTCAGCTGCCTCTCATGTAGGGGCATTTTCAGCATTACAAAACATGTAAGTTTAATTAGGACAGTTTTCACCAGGAAATCTCCCTGCTGTAAGAAATCAGAGTTACATACTATTGYAAGGAAATGGGCAGCTTTACCACATGCCCGTGCTGTTACAGCGAGAGTCAGGAAGGGTGAAATATGTGTTGGAAGAAAAAAAAATGCACAGGAAACATGGAATCAAGGCCAGCCGTATCAGGCTCATTCGTGGCAGAGAGCCAGTCCTCGTTTCAGGTGATCTGTCGGCTGGCGCAGCGCTGGCCGGTTGCTGCCCTCTATGTGCCTGCTCACAGCAGAGCACGCTGTGCAGCGAGCACCCAGACAAGTTCCAGAGCCACTCCGGTGCCTTCCCGGCTCCTGCAAATTCCTGCTCTCCATGCGAGCTCCTTGCGACACCAGCAAGAACCAGTGATTCCTGGTAGAGCTTCCTTGCAGGTAGCACACCATGAAAAGCAGGCAGGTGCTGTGCAGTCACTTGGCACACGAGCCAGTGCATCCCTCCAGGAGCYGCTTCCTTCCCGCTCCCAGGGGAAAGGCAGCACCGTCCACCAGCAGAAATGCACCCTGCAGCCCTGGTAACTGGAGGCATTTTCAGTCTTACTAGCCTGACCTGTGAGCACAAAGGTGGAGGACCAAGAGCACTGCCAGCCCGTTGGGACAAACTCCTCACCATGGTTCAGGAAAGCCACGCTGCATCCCTGGGACAGCTGCAGAGAATGTCCAGATCTGTGGGAGCAGTTATGGAGGTGGTGACAAATATTTATTTATTCATTTCATGCTTTTCAGAGGTAAGTCACTGAGTTTGACATTCCAGAACAGCATAAGATGATGTTAACCTTTTGTTATCAGAACAATTTCTGTTCTTTAACAGAAAGTGGCTTGAGAATTGATACTTCAGGAAGGAATCAAGTATCTGAAACTGCAGGTAGGCTCTGCTGCATCAGGCTGAGACTTTACAGTGCTGATATACACACTGTTCAGCTTGAGGAAGTCTTTTTTATGACAGAAAAGCGAGAAGCTTAAAGGTGAGATTCAAAATATGGTACACTGGCCACACAGCTCTCAGGTGGGCCAAATTTGGCCCACATATTTGGCATACCCGATATAAAACCTAGTGAAGAGAACAACCCACGACAGCAAGTATTCCCCATAAATAGTTACTGTCTAGTAGTTGTCAGTCTGTGGTTCATGAACAAAATCTGTCCAAAGTTCCTGAATAGTCACAACCTGAATTTGCCGAGTTGTAGGTCTAATTTGGCTAAAACATCCTCTTGGAAACAGTTGTCTTGCTTTCTCTTACAATCCTCTAAACTTTGTGGTAGCATTTGGACAGCTTTTGTGTAGACTTCACTGAAAGATTATTGCGCTGGTTGAGTGCATGGGGTACTTGAGCCAAGTGAAACAGGAAATATATTCCTGAGGTATGAAAAGGCAGAGAATTTTCTTGCTGATTTTTTTTCCACATAATAGTCTAGAAGATTAATAGCCTTCTGCTAGCCCTTCTCATTGGAAAAAAAAAAAAAGAAAATGATATGTAGTTTCTCCTCAGCCAAGCAACAATGTAGTAATTTTCTAGGTTGCTTTAAAGCTCTTAGAAAAGGTCAGGTATCAGAGCCACCTTGCCTTCAGTAAAAAAGTAATTGAGATYGCTTATAAAACAAAGGATTGATATCAGTAGTGATTACTGCTCAAAAAGGAAAAAAAAAAAAAAAAGGCACAAAGCAAGGTTTGAATAGATGATGAATCATGTGGCCCAAAGGATTTTTCTGGATTTTTGGGTGCAGAGGATGTTTGTGTGTAAAACACCAGGCCATGAGGGCCAGATGGTAGAGCTCTGCATGTGCAAGGGAAACCGCAAGAAACACTACAAAATGGATGYTGAGAAGCAGCTGAAAGTCAAGGAGACTGGGAGCTTTGGTTCTCACTCCTTGAGTTGAGTGACGGTCAAAAGAGGCTTGGGATCGTGAGTCTTTCTGGGTTGAAAGATACATAATTCTGTGTATTTGTTTTCAATTGGATGCTGAGAAGCAGCTGAAAGTCAAGGAGACTGGGAGCTTTGGTTCTCACTCCTTGAGTTGAGTGACGGTCAAAAGAGGCTTGGGATCGTGAGTCTTTCTGGGTTGAAAGATACATAATTCTGTGTATTTGTTTTACAAATAAATTGAATTAACCTTGAGTGTATATCTAGCTTCATCACTGGCTCCACAACCTTGTACTGTCACCAAACACTTTGTCACAAAGTCCCCTTTCCTATCTGCCCATTCATTTACACTGCAAATTCTTTGGATTGGAGATTATTTACTAGTAAGTTTTTTTTTTCAGAGTTTCTCTTTCCATTAAGATGTAAACTCTTCAAGGCATTTTTTCTTACTTTGTATATACAGAGGTGTAGTTCAATGGGAATTCATCACTGACATAAGACATAATGTTACTGGTGATGTTCACATTAATGTCACTGGTAATGCACACAGTTAACTAAGTTTGAGTTATTTTCTTTGACATAAATGAGAATACTTGTTACTAAGTTTATGTTTAGTCTTTGTTAAGGTGGAGTCTGTATTATTAAGAAAATAGTTAAATGTGGAAAAGTAGTTTTGAAGACATTCTGGAAGGAACAAGTTCCCGTTCTTGTCTTGCTTTTATTACCATATAAACTAGTAATATGAGTATACAGCAGGTGGCGTTTGCTATTACTTTTCTCTGCAATTACGGATACAAGGAAGTATCAGTAACCTGTTATTTTCCTGGCTAGTTAAAAGAGATATATTTTCCATTAGAAATACTATTGTGAGCTATGCTCACTTGCCTCGGGGCATGCGCTACAACAGAGCTTCAGTGACTGGAAATGTCAAAGGTGTTCAGAGTTCCTGCAGACAGAAGCATGATTCTAACCAGAATATTTCCTCAAATCTGTTAACTTGTTCCTATTTAAAGAAGCATTTTGTGAGCAGAAGAATTTGCAGTTATGTTTCTTTTCCCCTCCTGACTTCCTGTCATCATAACGCTCACAGGCGTCTAGTATTTTTAAATCTCAGTCTCCTTGTCTATTTAAAGCATATTAGTCCATGAAGTCAATAGTCACTCACAAGGGACAGATGGAGACATAGCACAGGGGGGAATTACCGCTCCCTTAGGAAGTCAGGCCACAACGTGCCTCGAGTTTCTTACACAGCATCAGAACTGGCCAGGAGGTTGCTACTGGCTTATCTCATCACCGTATGCCCTCAGAGATGCTTTATTTGGTAGGGCTGTTGCATAAAACAAACAAAATCACCTAACGACCCACAAAACACTTTTACACTACAAAAACAGAAATTATTGGACCAAAAAGCTGATGAATTACCACAGTTACTTACGCGAAGACTAAGAAGCCTCTCTGCTCATGACATCACAGCACTCCAGGGGTTTTGGGCCAGATTCAAAGAAATCATTTGAAGAAAAAAACCAACTCATTTCTGGACCATTCATTCCTGTGCAATATTAGGAATGCTCTCAGCCACTGGAGTGTAAAGGAGCTGAGGGCTTTTACTGCCTTGCAGATAAAATACATATGGGTACGGCCCATAAGGTATCTTTTTGACAGCTTGTCTATTCTATGTGCTTGTGTTTACATTTTCTTAATGAAAATGTTAGCTTTACAWGGGTATGAATTTGGCTGCCCTTTATTCTTTATTTGTATGAAATGACACTTTGGTGGTAGTTATTTGTCTCTCTCCCACTCCCTGTCACTGAATTACCTCTTTCTTTCTTTCTGTTTGCCCTCTGGATAAAGCAGGATCCTTCTTGAGAGATTATTCCAGGCAAGGAGACACGCAGCCACGTTTCCAATTCAGTCTGGAAGGCCATCTAGTGACAAAATCATGCAGGAGGAAATGTGAAACCCTATTTGAATTACACTTTTTTTTAGCTGAATTAAAGAATTTTGTTACACTCGAGCATTGTATTTGTTGGTATTCCCAATAAATGATATTTCAAAAAAAAAAAAATCTGGACTCAATTTAGATTTCTTAAGTGGCAGGATTTGTGAGATAGGACACAACATTAAGGTCTGTTAGAAAAAAAAATTAAAAATCCACGCTTTTTACAGAGAACGATGGCAGATTTGTTAAGCAATCCTACTACAAACACAGCATCATTAACGCGGATCGGTGCCAAGTTTACCTCACCGTTTTGATTCCTTCCCTTCGCACTGGCAATGTCAGCGTGTGAAAAGCACCACACGTAGGTGTGTTCACGAGCCCTCGCATCCCTGTGCTGAGAAACCTTAAATTCCCTTTGATCCGGACCACGGCTCGCCTTGCCCCAATGGCACCAAGTGGGTTTGGGGGGGACCCGAGGAGGCCTCCGCGTGGCCCCCTGTCCTGCTCGGGGCTGGGGGCCGCCCCGGCGCGGAGCGCGGCCTCGCGGCTGGCAGGGACTRAGCACTGGAGCCCCGAGCGGGTCCCTCCAGCCCGGGCTTCACAGGGAGCCCTCAGGGGAGCCCTCAGGGGAGCGGGGGCCGCTACGGGGCCGCCCGCGCGCGGGCAGAGGGGCGGCCGTTGCGTACGGGGCTTCCCGCCGGGGCGCTGAGGTGAGGGCGGCCCCGAGGGCGGCCCCGCGCTGAGGGGAGCCGTGAGGGCGGCCCCGCGCTGAGAGGAGCCGTGAGGGCGGCCCCGCGCTGAGGGGAGCCGCGACGTGCCCCGCGCGGCCGCTGCGTTCGCGGCTTCCCGCCGAGGCGGCTGCAGGATCCGGGCAGGGCCCCGAGGCACCTGCCAATCCCCGTCGGGGCGCGGGCGGCGCCTGCCCGAGCCGGGGCGCCGCGTCCCGCAGGCAGCGGCTTCGCTCCATGGAGGTCTCCAACGGGGTGCTGCCCGCCGGGCAGGCAGGGGGCTCCCGGCGCGGCGCCGCCGCCGCCCCGGCGGGCAGGAAGGAGGTGAAGATGGTGATCGTCGGGGACGGCGGCTGCGGGAAGACGTCGCTGCTCATGGTGTACGCGAAGGGCGCCTTCCCCGAGGTGAGCCCGGCGCTGGGCTTTTTTTTTTTTTTTTTTTTCCAGGGGATTTTTCTTTTTTAGCTTTTTAATTTAATTTTATTTTAGTCTTTCCTGCCAGAGGCACCTGCGGCGGTACCAAAATCCCCACCCCGTAACCCGCGGCCGGTGGAGAGGCCCCGGGCTTTCCCCCAGCACCAGGGAGGAAATGCACTTAAAGGCTGGGAGCAGGAGCAGGTGAAATCCTGAAATTCGGGTGATTTGGGAAGGTGGTCACCTCAGTGAAGCGGCCTTCATGATGTCAGCGTTGCACAAATGCTACCGCCAGGGAAACTAATTTATTTTTGTTATTTTCCCTGTGTTTACAGCAATATGCACCATCTGTCTTTGAGAAGTACACSACCAGCATCACGGTGGGCAGCAAGGAAGTCACCCTGAATTTGTACGATACTGCAGGTAATGGCGATTTTCTTTTGTTTTTCCCATACTCTCATTTTTTTTTCCAGTGCCCAAAATAATAAACAGCAATAGCCAGTTTCTCCAAGACCCTTCCATGCTGGGATTGTGCCGGGGTACTGGCTCAAGACTGAACCCAGATGCAATGCCAAGGTTTTCTGTGATATGAACAGTGATAGAACATCAGAGAGCTAAGCAGAAACTGCTTTCACCTTCACAAAACACCATTCCCATGAACATGCTGAATAGGTGTGTTTATTCCAAAAGATTTTGCTGTGTCAACTTAAAACAGACTGATGCTAGAAGATTGCAAAACTGGATGTTTCCTTTCCCCTTCTTTCTTTCCTTCTTTCTTTCTTTCCTTCTTTCTTTCTTTCCTTCTTNTTCTTTCTTTCCTTCTTTCTTTCTTTCCTTCTTTCTTTCTTTCCTTCTTGCATGCTTCTAGCCTAATATTAATATTAAATGCTATATAAATATATTTAAATTAAAATAAATTATATTTAAATTTAAATATAAATATAAATTAAATACAACTTTAAAACAGCAACCATTAGCAATTTAACGCGTAAATATGCCTGTCAGGGAACAAATAGTCACTGGTCTAATGGGTTTGCAGTTTTAGCCATGGATTTGTTCTTTATCCTAACAATGCAGTTCATTAGGTAAATCAGACTGAATAGCATACATACCTGGAGGTATTAAAATCTAGTTCCCAGATGCATAGTGCAATATAATCAACCGAGAAAATACTTTAATCTCCTGCCATGCGTGATCAAACAGTAAAGGAAAAAAAAAAAGGCTAGGCTAGTTAGTGTTCAAAATAAAAAAGGACATAGTGTTAAAAGCTGCTTGAAAATGCTGGTAACTTGTTTGGGTTCCTTTCAGGAACTTGTGAAATGGCTTGTGTTCAACTTCATTCACAATTTTTGTCACATTTCTGAGACACAGTTGTCCAGCTGCGTTTCTAAATGAACCCTAAAATTGACACACACGCTCCATGACGGCTCAGTGTAAATCATGTTTGTTTCAGTTCAAGCCTGTGGAGTTCCAGATTTATGCCAATATAAATAAGAAAGGAATGTGGTTCATACTCATTTCTAATAGTTATAAAACACACTTGTTTTCTCACATACCTCATGTGATACCTGAGTACATAATTTTAAAGGTTCTTTAATATAAAAGTGATTTTTATAGCTAATTTTTACTGCTCTGTAGTAAGATTCTGGCCATGCAAATCTGCTAATATTTGTTTCTAATGTTGCTTTTCTTGACTCCAGTGATTTGGATAATTTAGCTTCTACCAAATGGCAAGACTTTTGTGTTTGCTGTAAGTCTTAAGAGAGGAGCTAAAATGTAGTTTGAGCAACCAAACAGGAATTTCCTTAATACAGTATGTTGGCATAAAGACCTTACCACAGTGAACTTGTTGAGTTTTAATGTTTGCTCACTGTCAGTGTGGGATTTTAACTGGTCATACAGTTTGTGATCCTGGGCTGTCTTTCATTTAAAATCACTTCCAGCATTTGCCTTTGGAGACTTTTCCAGGTTGGATTCAGACAGGGCACTAAACTAAATGTTGTGAGCAGAGATGGCAAACCAGACATACGCACCCGACTCCTAGAGCAGGGCATTGAGCTGGAGAGTGCCTGCAGATGCCCGCACTGATGGTTCATCTCGCCCCGTTTCCTCCTTTAGGTTGTAGCTCAGCAGAAACTGCTTCCCCTCCGCAGTGAGTTTTGCTGTCTTGGAGCAGCATCTCCCCTTGAAGCAGCGGATGGGGTGTTTTGTCTCTCTCAAGACACTTCAGGAAGGGGAGATGTCACTGTTGCCTAGTTGTGAGAGCTCCTACCCGTGAAAGAGCAGTTGCCTTCCATCTCATATGGAGAAACCCTACATATTTCACCTCCCAAAGCAGTGCTGTGAMCACCAGCTTACAAGCTGCTGGCAGCCTCTCCTCCCTTCCTGTTGGGTTTCTTTTGCTTTGCAGCAGACAACTCAAGGGTCTCTGGTGCCCAGAGACAGAGACGTTGCTTTCTTGGTTAGAGCTTCTGTTTGGGAGGAGGAAAGGCTTGAGCTTTGGTCCTGCCTTGACGTCACTCACCCAGCTGTGTGTTTCACACTTGTTAGTTCAAGCAGCATCTCACCCTCTTCCTCAACCTGGAAGCTAGGCTAGAGGAAGAAGTCTTCTGAGTGCACATATTTTGATCCCATCATGTTTTTAAAAAACAAAACTGCTGTTGGCTTGCCTAAAACAAGGACTAAAAATTGTTCCACCCGTCAATACTCAGTGCAGTAGAAGAAAGTAAGGGGGGCACCCAGTTCAGCAGCAGAGAGCTGCTGTCCCCCTTGCTTCAGTCTGGAGAGGGGGATGCAGTAATGGGATCTGTTTCACTACTGACTTGYCCTGTTGTATCGTGCAAGGAGGGCWTATTAGGTTATTCCCAGCTGGGTAATGATGCTCTGGGCGGGTGCTGGGTAGAGYAGCAATTACAGCTTAAAGAGGAGAACAAGTGTACAATAGCTTCCTGAAAGCAGCACGATAGTTTAGCAGTACAGCACRTTGCCTGTGTTTCATTAATTTTCTTCTGACTTACTGAAATGCTTGAGTTGTTTTTGCTCTTCTGTAAAAACTCTAAGCCAGCTTTGCCTTTGTATATTGCTTCTCACTCTGAAAACTTCCCAAATGATTCATACTGTCCTAAAAGCATTAAAATGAGATGAAAAAGAAATAAAGGTATGTCTAAGGTAAGCAGCTCCAGCTAACTGTTGTACAGCACTCTAGAGAAGGAGAAAATATGTTCTTCTAAATAGCATCACTGGATCTTCATCATTCACCCACAGCAGAAAGGTACTAGTATCTTTAGGATCTTGCCAAGAGCAACAGTAAATAGAGCTCCAGTATCATGGAAAGGTAAAGACAGATTCAGCTCTGTGGCTGGTAAACCTCTGGTTTGACGGGGTTTTTTTGCACAGTCATCACATGTGGGTCTTTGAGCTTGTCCTGCTTGCTGAGGGAGAAGGACACGGGCACTGTGTCATGTAGAATCACAGACACAGTGCCTGTAGAATCAAGCATTTCAAGCTGTAGATATTTTTTTCCTTGGCAAGTGTTTTGGTAACAACTGAAGTTGAGGAGCTAGTCTAAAATATGCTACAATAATAGGGTTTTTTCTTTTTTTTTGAGAAGTTATATTGTGCCGCTCTAATCTTCCTCTGAGACATCCATGGCTGTTGCAGGAAGCTGCCTATACATGTGCAGTCTATAAAGACTGCAATGTCAATTATCTTGTCTGCAAACCGCAGCTGTTTATTCAATTAAAAAATTCCATTTCTCAGTGCGCCTGACAGAAACAAAGGAATTGCAGGGTAAATTAACTTGGTGATTGTTTACGTACGAAAGGAACAGCCTAATGATGCTGGTGCTTGAGCTCCCGTTCTGCCACGAGGGTTAACTGGTGCGAGGTGAGAGGCTTTCTCGGAGCACGGGAGGGCTRGGGAGGAGGCAGCACTGCATCCTGCGGCCGCTCGCTGGGCTGCAGGAAACCCAGCAGGGCTCTTCAGAATGACAGATGCGCCACAGTGTGAGCCCTTCAGACAAATGTAAAARGAAGCAGATGCCAGAGTAATTTGTCATAACTTTGAAAGAAAGAGGGAGAGCCTGAGGAATTAAAAATACTCACTTTTTAACTGGAACATGGTCCTGTCCCACTCGCCTCCCAATTGTCCCCTTCTATTTTCATTCCTGCTAGCAAGAGAGTTAAGTTTCACTCTTTCTTTCTGAGCAGAGCAGCACAGAAGCTTAGCTGCATGCTGGCAACCCTGGTAGGACTTGGAGTCTACAGCAAGACTAAAGAGAATTGAGTGCATTTCCTTGTGTGCGTATGGGCCCTCCACTACATGGTTACATCTTGCTTTGAAATACTGTGTATACTGTATTTAAGACAACATACTGACATATATAGGAAGTGGTTGGCTGGCCTGGATTAGGTGACAGGATGTTACAGCCTTCCTCCTGCCTGGCAGTCGGTGGCAAYGGAGAGTGTTACTGTTAGTTAGGGAGCAGCACTAATTGGGAAGCTGCTACATAGCCATGGTTAGCAGCGACATTAGGAGGACATTACACCCTTCCCAGTGACCTGGAGGGCCTGAGGAGATTTAAATGCCCCACACAGCTGTTGTGCCCACAGGCAAGAGGCCACTAAGGTCCTTTACATCCTGAGCGCTTCCTCGGGTGGAGCTTTGGTGAAGGGCAGAGGAAGAGCAGACACAAGCAGGGCTGTGAAATCGAGACCTGTGGTTTTGCTGCTTCCCCTGTCCCCAGCYGGCGCCTGAGGTCCTGCTCCTCCCTCGGGTTCAAGTGCAGCAGCAGAGCCGWGTGGGGGATGCTTCCGAAATGCCGATAAAATGCCACGGTCTCTAACGCTGCAGCGAGCTGAGAGAGGCCAGAGGAGTCGCAGGTACACTCCGGTGCAGCTCTGTTTGCACAGTTCTTTCACAAGATGGTTTCAACTGGGGAAGGAAAAGTGCTTGAAGGAACATGCACTCGGCAGGGTTGCATGTGTGCTCAGTAGGCACTGAGCTTCAGCCCTCGGCTTTCGGTTTGAACTTGTATAGTAGAAGACCTAAATGTGCCAAATAAACTGGGGCCACAGAGTGAGCAACTTTACAGATAAAGTCTCCCAGGCACTTTCTTTCTTTTTGCATTTCTATCAACAGTTCTTAAGGAGGGGCAGGGAAAGGGAGTATTTTCAGTCTAGTTCTTGGAAGAGAGCTGCTGATGTTCAGACACTTACAACCTGATCTGGGTCCTGTTACAACCACAGCAGCTGAAGAACTGTAGTCTGAACTCTTAGAGAACAGCTTCCTCTCTGCAATTACCTCACCACAGCACAAGTTAAACAATGTACCATCTAACCTTGCGGGCTCTGCGTTTCTGCCTTGTCCTGTGCTCTGTATTTGAYATTTCCAGTACGAACCAAGCAGGAACATTTGCATTTTACAGAGCAACACTTTCTCGTGCATTCATTTTCAGTTTGCTTCAAAATCTTCACTGCAAAGCTGACCTTTGAAGGTGAAGGTGCAGCTCACTGGAGCAACCACATCTGTATTTTTTGGCTTGCAACAGAGCACATCTGTCACCCCGGCACTGCTGTCATCCCACCCAAGAGACCTGGGTTACAGCAGCATGCAGGACGCTCCCCCGTGCCTCAAAAATAGCCAGCACTAACTTGGATGGTTTGGTAGCTTGATTTTGCAAGCTGCCTTTTTAGAGGCTCAGAAGTATGAATTTGAAAGGGAAAACAGATCCAGCATGTAACACTGGGGAAATAAGTAGAAAAGGAAAAAAGCGGCACCTGATGTGTGTAATGCATTTAGAGGATTATCTCAGCCACAAAACGGTAAATCAGTTGCAAACAAGTAGGTGGATTTGGGAGAATAAGAAGGGCTAAACAGTACAGTCTTTGCCCTGAATGTTTATACAACATGCATAATTTTGTCAATTGCCTATTATTTTTGGATTAAGCCTCGAGGGATCAGTCTTCCTTTGTGCTGTATGTCACCCGGGGCACATGCTGCTCCTCTGGAGCTCAGTGAGTGGTGCAAACTTAAAATTCCCTTTTCACAAACATCTCAGACAACAAAACTATGATTTATCCAGCAGGGACCACATCTCATTCCGTGGTTTGAAATTAGAGGGATGACAGTGTGGAGAGGTACTGGTCATCTAGAAAAGTAATTCGAGGCGAGCACATTGCCTAGGTTAACTAGTACGTGACTTAGAACAGAGCTGGGTGCCAGGACAGGAATAAGGAGTAGCTGGTATGGGATCGGAGCATGCTTACATTTTTAGCACCCCTTCTTTTGCACTGGTGAATCAAATATTTAAGATATTTAACTTCCATAGGACGGGGGCTGGCAGTAGAGATGGGGCAGTGATCAGGCAAAGGCCACTTCTCGTTTTGGACATGAAGTGCATCATGGAGACATACCTGTTTCCTCGGGCACCATTCAAGTGGTAAACAGATCTTCTGCTCTCTCTTTAAGTGGTTTCTTATTTCAGGGTTGGTGTCCAGCAGGCACAGTGTTTTTTATTTCACGACACTGCACTTGCAAGTGCATCTTTGGGGACTGGAGCCACTGCTAAACTGCAAACCTTTTAATCAGTGACTATCAAATTTGTCTTGGTCATTTTACATGTGAGGAACAACTTCGTAATCAGTGATTAAAACTGCTTCTAAATACTTAATAGTGAGACAAACCATCCTCCTTACTAAGGCTTTCTAAGGACACATTTTATATTCAAGAGCATCAGATTTGTCCCTGGGGAAGAATCTCCTATATGTAAGGGAGAGAATTTTACAGTGTTTCAGTGTGTGCAAGTAGAGTAACTCTTGTTCTTGCTCTCATGTATATATCTGAACACTTTCTTATCACATTGTCTGTTAAGGACAGATATGTGTATCAAAAATTTTCTCTCTGTTTCAGGGCAGGAGGACTATGATCGGCTACGACCACTTTCTTACCAGAACACAAATGTCGTCTTAATTTGCTACGATGTCATGAATCCCACTAGTTATGATAACGTAGTAGTTAAGGTAAGAGGCTTCCATAACTGCTTCAGACTTTTACATGAGTTAAATATGCCAAATGTATGACAAGACTCAAAAAGCTGATGGCTTTTAGTAGCCCAAGCCCAGGGCTTGCAAGTGCCCAGGCCGTTCATCGTGCACTGAGCTCTGGGCCACAGTGCTGAATATGGGATGCACCTCTGAAAGACTGGGCTCTGCAGTGCAGCRCACAGAAGGATCACAAACTAAGCACAAAGTCATTGTTTCACCTATAGCGATGTCATACAACCATGAACTGTTTACAGCTACTTTAAATTTAAGTATACTTCCATCATATACTTTCATACATCAATATATAACAGTTAAGATTTCTGAATGTGTCTGCAAATAGCTCCTTTGGTGCTCTAGCACTAGAATAAGGACTTCTAGGTCTAAAATGGCAGCGTATATTAAGCACTGACTCTGTTCTTTATTGTTTTGATTTCTGGGAGGGGGAAATAAAGATGCAAAGGTTTTGTTTCTCTCCTACCAGTGGTATCCTGAGGTGAGTCACTTCTGCCGCGGGGCCCCCSTTGTTCTCATCGGCTGCAAGACGGACCTCCGGAAGGACAAGGAGCAGCTGCGCAGGCTCCGGGCCTCCCAGCAGGAGCCCGTTACGTACAGCCAGGTAAACACGAGTGCCTTCCAAGTGCTGCCTTCTGCGTGGAGGGCCAAGCACACGCATTTCAGTGTCATTGTTGCTAACACGTTGTAACTACAAATGTTCCAAAATCAGGTGAACACAACATCTCGATTACAAATTATTCACAATCTGCATTAACAGGGGTTCTGTAAGCCCTTTTTGAAAGTGGTCTGACCAGTCTTTGTACCAAAGCAAGGAGAAATTCAGTGAGCATTTTGCATATCTTGGAGTATCAGAAAAGACACTAAAAACTAAGCCTAGCCTCAAGACTAAGCTTTTCCTTCCAGGCTAAGGTGAACAGCAAGCGTTAGTCATTTGTGTGTCTCTGTTCTAGGCTCAGCACATCTCATTCTTGTTTCTTTCCACAGCTGGGTCATTACTGTTATAAACTGGTAGCCCTCAAAAAGTTGCTGAGACTCCGTCTGTACTTCTTGTTACAGGGCATTGCTCCCATCACCGATAGGTCAATCGGGGGTGTGAGGAAGACCAGAGATAGTAGGATCCATGTTACAGTATTAAAAATCTTGACTGTTCTGGCAAAAAAGTGTTTTGCAAACCGTATTTAACAGTAAAGCATTTCAAGGACAATAGCAAGAACAGTTGCAAGGCTTTTCCTAGGGGGAAAAAAGTGTTTCTTTAGCAGTAGCTTATAATTTACCAGCAGTACCACCAAGGCCTTAACCTAGGGTCAGGAGAGGTAGCTTCTTTCTTCCCCATCCTGCCTTCTTTCCTCTCCCAAACTGCAACTTTACATCTCATTTGCTTTTATTCTTTCCAGGGCGAAACAGCGTGTCAGCAGATTAACGCAGAAGTTTATCTGGAGTGCTCAGCAAAATGTCGTGAAAACGTCGAAAATGTTTTTAAAGAAGCAACAACCATTGCACTCAATGCCATGAAAAAAGCCAAACGCCAGAAGAAACGGACAGTGTGCTCAGTGCTATGATAGAGACTGCTCCGAGCATCGCAGCCACGTGATTCACCTTTTAGCAGCAGATAACTTTAAAAGACCTTTTCCCTCACCCCTCGTAAATATTTTTATTCCTGCAGTGATTTTTAAGTTCTAACTTTTTAATATTTTTGCACTTTCATTGAACTACTCTAAGTTTTCAAAGCTCTTTATTCAAGTTAATGGATGGCACTCACTGTTGTCCCTCCAGCTTTTGCTCCTAACCATAAAGGAACTGGTTTGTTCTTAGATCCACAGTAAGCTGCAAAGAACAGTGACTGCTGCTAGCTGACTTGGTTACTTTTTTCTTCTAGACATTAGCCATGGTACATTTTGTCTATAATTTATTGCCCTGGTTAACTAAATTTAAGCAAAAGAGGTAGAAAGGCCACTTCTCTCAGAAGAGATGTTAAAGCAGTACATTTAAAGAGAAGTTAACTTGAAAATTACTAATGCAGAACTTATTGTACCCAAAGASAGTGAACTGAGTTAGCCTTGAGCTGTCCCTTTAGCCTGTACAGGCAAAACCTCCCCTCCTTTATCACTGCAGCAGCTTGCAGAGCTGCTCCTTGACAGGACTCCATGCAAAGTCTGGTGGCCCAACAGAAAGGGCTGCTCCTTAAATAACACACAGCAGGTGCTCCAGTGCAGAAATGGAGCATCACATAAAAAGTTAGAAAAACTTGAAACAGCTATTCTGTGCAATATAAAGATAATCTTGAAATAAACTGCAAGTTATTTAATACATGACAGATGCAAATGTGGATGCTCCCTGGGGGCAGAGAAGTGYTTAGCTGGACAACTCCTCTTCGTTAGCTGATGAAATAATCGCTACTACTGTGAAATAAATTCTGCCTTGGTGATGAAGGTGTCAGTTGCCTATTGAAAGACATTGATTTCTCCCGCTGAACAACCTCCTACCTGTGCCTCAGATCTCAATAAGGAGATTTGTCATTAAATGATAAAAGGACAATGTGTTACCTTACCCAGCAAGTAACCAGCATCCTTGCCCTTGGTTCCATGGCTGGAATCTTTCCTTGTTTCTAAGTAACTGCAGAATCCAAATTCCTTACCCAGCACAGAGCTCCCGCAGCCCCGGAGCACCAGTTCCCCTGTTGGGATCCAGCAGGTTCCAGCATTGCTCTCTCAAGAGAACAGTTTATATTTCATAACTGGAGAGTTCAAAAAAATAAAATTCACAGAGTTTGCAGAAGAGTTAATGTAGAAAGATACAGCCAAACTAACGGGAAACTTGTTCAAAATAGGCAAATTGAAATTTATTGTTCATGCCCACAGGACAGCAACACTGTAAAGGTAATTTTGCTAGCCTTGCAGCAACAAAATAATGAAACCATTTCAAGTCTGTAGTGCATATATATTTCTTTGTGGGAGAAGGGCATCATTTTCCAGTCACATTCTGCTAAAGCCATTTGCCCCATCTGGACATTGTGCCAGCACAAAGAAAAGTCCTACAGTTGAGAAAGGTGCTGCATAAAACAGCGCACACTTTGGAAGCTGGGTTTAGGAGGTACAGAGTTAAACACCCAAACAAGCTGTATTTGAGTGAGTAAATTCAGTCCAAGAAGCACAAGGAGACAAGGGTGAGGGTCAGGATTTCCCCTCAGACAGACTTCCGAGGGAGCGTATACATTCTCTTAACTCTTGCCACCTTGATATCCCCTAATGGTATTGAAAGGAAGGATTTAATACTTAGGCTCAGTCTGTCTTCACCTTTCCAGAGTGACCCTGGAAGCAAAAAATACTGACAACAGAACAGGAAGGGCAGTGGCTGTTGCACCTAATGCCCTGATGAGGGTCATTTTCAAGAAAAGGAGGCTCAGCAAATAAATGCTCCAACCCAAAGGGCAGGGTGTTTATTATTAAAAAAGAGCTGAGCCAGCTGCATACTATGCAATTTATTTTAAACCTTTTCCAGACCCAGACAAATTACTTGGTCTCTCTGGAAGAAAGTTAGCAGACCTCCTTGCCATTTAGCAGCTAGTTTTGGTTGCTGTTTTTTAAAATTTCTCTTCATTAAATAACTTTTAAAAAGTGTATATAGCAGCAGTATGGTTCAAAGATGGAATTTTTTTTTTTCATAGTACACACAGGTTAATATTGCCACTGAAAATTAGCCTTAAATGCCTTAAAAATAACATTCGGTCTGTATTATTGAGCAACCTGGAGTGTTTATAAAGCTTTGCAAATCCAATGCCCCAAATTTAAATAAGTAAACTGGAGAGGAGAGCATCAGAGATTACTCCAGAACTGGAATTACAGTAGATCCCACATTCTCCCAGTACCGGCACTCCCTCTGGCAGGTGCATGCTGCTGGATATACAGGAAAAAAAATAAAAAATAAAAAGCAAGCATGTTTTGTATAAATATACATAAATAGGAGAGCCATGCTTGCTTAATACTGAGTGTGTGCCAGGATAGTCCATGTCCCTCGGCAGCCCTGGGGACAGCTCTGCGCGGGGCCCGTTCCCGCCGCGGGCGCAGGCAGGAGCAGCCCCCGCAGCCGCCTCACAGCGGCTTCACTTTGTCCTTGTTTTTCTGCAGCTTAGTGTGCACCACTTTGAGCGTAGTGAGGAAGTTCCCGAGGAAGAGCAGCAGAAACGTGAAAGCCAACACACAGACCTGAGCAGGGGGAAGAGAGACAAGTATCAGTGATGCAGAGAGGAGCCCGGCAGAAGGAGGCTGAGCACTGAGCAGGGTCCACTGAACCCCTGCCCAGGCACCCGCATGGACAGATCTTCCTTCAGAAGTTTATTCTTCCTTGCTTCAGGCAGCATCTTTGGATACCTTCAGCCAAAGTCCAGTCATTAGGAAGCCAAAGGATCAGGCTTATGATACAAACACTCGCACCTAACGGCAGCAAGAGGCACATGTATGAGAAGCTGAGCTGCTTTATTTTACAGAGCTGACTTAAGTTCTGTATAGGTATTAATTAATCTGTATAGGTATATAGTTCTGGCACAGTATAAGGCCTGTGCTGATAACACTGAAGTATTTAGATGCCCAAATATCTTTAAGGACTTGGTTTTAGAATAAGTAATTGATAATAATTTAAAAATGTCCCTGGCACCATGTGTTTTCTGAGCAGAACCAACACCCACCTGCCATTCTTTGCACTCCTTATGCCTTGACAATCCAAAAAGTGTGATTGCATTATATAGCTGCCAGAACTGAAGAGAGAAGAAGCGGCTTCGTTACCAGCAGAACCTGGAAACCTTCGTCCCTCCCCGYGGCGCTGCCGTTGCAGCGGCACCAGGGCACCCGCCCCGAGCCATATTGCATGGAGGGTCTGGACTGCCCCACTTACGTGGCCAAAGAACAAGAAGGGGAGGAGGAAGGTCAGCCCCCGCCACATCCAGGACTGAAATCCTTCTGCAAAAGGGTAAGAGAAGATGCTGAGAGCGAGCAGGGGAGAGCCAGGACCTAAGCTGCGTCTCATCCCCTTTGGGAATCATTCCCCCGATGTACATGGGGAGCAGCTCTCCCCAGCCAGGCCACCRCGTACGATCAGCCCCATCCTGCTCCCCCGCATGGACTGTGCCCACTGTGCTCRGCTATAACCAAGCACGCAGTACCATAATGGGAGGAAGAAGAAGATGGGGATGAAAAAGCCTCAGGTTCATCCCCAAGAGAGCCTGACAGGGATCAGAGCCCTCTGCTTCTGACCAACAGGGACTAAGACTCGTTCCTCTTCCTGCCTCAGGGCAAAGGTGGCCGGGCAGGGCGTCCCCTGCTCTTTGAAGGCCAYTGTCACTGTAGGCCCAGTCCTTATCACTGTGCTTAAAACTCGCCCTGGTTGCTTGACATAACAGGAGGTTTTGCAAAGCCCGTATTGCAGAAGGCCTCACCCACTGTAAGGTCCAAGTGGTTTCTCTCGCCCAGAGCACGGAGCCTGTAGAGGCAGCCCCTCTGGTAGTAATATTGGAGGAACTGAACACAACCTGCAGAACGAGATGGGGACACATTCAGGAGAATGAAAATAACTCATCAGACCAGTTAACACACRTGGAAATGTTCAACTACTGCTTACACCTGCATATTGTACATTTGCAGTGTTATGATGTTGCTTACGTTTAYGCAGTTTTAAGACTGAATTACCGAGATATACTCACTTTGGAATATTGAAAACGCTAAAAATTGACTGCGAAACATTTGATACATGAGTCCATCTGGCCTGAAAACAAAACACAAAGGGTCAGTCACTTGATTTAAGAGAAAGAAGGACAAACCGAACCAGCCGCTACCCAGTGCCCTCCCCTTGTCAGCCCAGCCCAGCGGCAGCTGGAGCAGCTTTCCAGCCCCTGCAGAGGCCTTGCAGCCACGCACGGGAATCCTGCGCTGCAGGAAACCATCTCATCAGGCTTCCCATCTGTTTCTAGCAGTTTTCCCCAGGCACCAGTGTCTGCAAGATTTAACATGGTGGAGTCAAGGCAAAGGGGTTGCATTCCTTTTCCTAAAGGTATTTGGGACATAGGTAGGACAAGGAACCTTCCCCTCCAGTCATGGTACAACTCTGTCAAAGGGTCAAAATAAGAGATATTTGTTTGTTTTAAAACAATGTTTAATTATTAATCAATCAGCCCATACCAAACAAAGCTGAAATGGTTTGTAGTYACCCCACACCGGGTGCGAGGTTTTTGATATGCGGTACCATCCGTTTGAGCATAACTTGAATTTTTTGCTTTGTACTCGATTTATAACCTGTATTCAGCAAAGGCACCAGCTCTTTCACTGTCATTCTCACATTAAAGCAGAGTTAAGTAGCATTAAAGCTACTTRTTTGCTCAGGTCTTCACGCAGACACAGAAACTGGGACACTTGCAGAGATTTTGGTACCRTCACCACAACTAAGTCCTGAGAGTTTTGTTTTTGTGCAGATTGTTTGTTTTAAGCGAGCTTTAAGCTTGCAGCTTGTTTCAAAGAGCAGTAACATCTGGTAAATATTAAAGCAGGTGCCAGTGCAGACACAGTTACGTGGCCACAGCGGAGCTGAATGCTCAGACGACGCCGTTTGCAGCACTTACTATCAGACAAGCAAAAACTCACCACGTTAACATCACCCCGGACAAAAATGTGGAAACGTAGTGATGAGACACCCACCAGCCTTTGATCCTGAAAAGAAGGGGGGAAAAAATATGCTTAGGGATCCTCTGTTGCTTCTCACAGGGTTTTACTTGTGTTCCTGGCTCTTCAACTGTCTATCTCCTAACCACCAATTCTCTCTCCACACAAAGGTAACGTAGCTGAGCACTCCAGACTGTGCTGCAGCAACCCACGGGGTGGTCACGCTAAGAGCGCAGCGTCACGTGGAGGGCAATGTAGCTTCTGCTCCCTTTTTTACCATGAAATCACTGTCTGGATGCACGCAGAGACGTGCAGCTGCAGGCAGAGAAAGGCACCAAGTTGTATCTTGGGCCAGTCATTTTGCTGAGCACACTTCTCTATTCCAAACCACATCTACAACGAGCTTGTAGCTACCAAAACCATTCAGTGCTTTGGATCAAGAGAGCATGGGCTTTTCAGAGAGCGCAACTTCTCCTCCCTTCCCAAATCTCAGGTGGCCACACCTGCCTTTGGAAGTGAACGGAGAGAGGGTCGGAGACAACAGACCCTGCGCAGAAGAATCATCGTCTCAGATTTGCTGGGCTTCAACGCCAAACCAAATCCGCTTTTGTGGCTCGCTTTTCTTTTAAGGACATTTCATGCTTTAACTAGGGTTTGCAGATTGCATGGTACCTTGATCCATTGCTAATGAGAATGCTTTCCCGTATCGTCAGCGTGCAGTAATACCACACTAATAGAAAGTTAAACACTTCATCTGTCACCCTGTTAAAAAGAAGAAAAATACGGGGGAAAAAATCCTGTTAATTATAAACACACATGTGAAAATCCCTCTTCTTCCTCCCTTCCCCAAGGGAGCCGGATGATGAAAACCTGCCCAAGTGAGACCACGGACACAAGGGCCAGTCCTGAATATCTTTAAGCCACACAGAGCCTCACACATGGGCCGTCCTGCCAGGCCCAAGGCCGTCACCCTGGGAAGGGCTCATGATAAAACACTGCAGATCTGGGGCCRATAAGCAGGTACATGGAGATGACATTAATTCCTTCTGAAGGAGAGAAAGCACCATGGAAGCAGCAGATGATCCACTTTAGAGAGGCATTTCCAAGCTAATTCAATGAGAAGATTGAGTGTGATCTATATAAATCCAATCAACTAAAAGAGCAAAAGAGCATTACACTCCAGGGAAAAAAAAAAGCCCTTATTTTGCCATTTGCAACTCCCTGTAGCCACAGTGAAACTGGGCAGCCTTTTTATGCAGCAATTCATTTCCATGGTATTATCCGGCCCTCATCCCAGATCCAGGGAGACTCTGATGAAAGGGTCACGCTTCAAAACTTCTGTTATTTTTTAAACACAACTTTACAGTGGAAGCTTCCTGGTGCTCAGATATGTTACTGTGACCTAACATTTCAGTTCAGACCATCTGATGCAAGTGTCCTTGCTGGGTGTTCGCAGCCCCAAACCTTCMGCACAGTGATGATTCTTTTGGGAACAACCAGAGAGCAAAACCAACTGCTCACTCCCTCGTATACTAAAATACCATGAAAAAACAAAACCCCCATCAGGAAATGAAATATTCAACTTATTTGCTACAGACTCCTCAAATATTAATAGCAAGCAAGGAAAACCCAGTAGCTCAAATGCAGGGCCAAGCTGCAAAGAAAAATGGTCACAGAAGTTCTCCTGCTGGGGTAATGCAACTATTAAAAACCTAAACAGTGCCCAAGCCTCAGTCTTTAACAGAAAGGAAGAGTTAGTTCAGACTGAGTACATTTTGATTCAAAACACCTGGTTACAATCCGAAGTGCAGGCTTACCTGTAGTGAAGGAAAAACCTGCAGGCCACAGCCCCGAGTAGCAAGATTATAGTCAGATAAAGTTTGAACTTTTCATATTCGTCTTTGTAGGCGAACCTGGAACGAAACAGCGCAGGAAACCTCATGCTTTGTGTGGGATGTTGGGCTGCAATGAGACCTTCCTTCTTTCAGGAGGGGCACAAACTCAGTGAAATCACGTGGCAAATTCTGCAGCCACAGGCACCCTGTGCTGGCCAAGGCCCCATGTGCACACCCTGCCCCAGGACCACAGCCTTCATCCCTGCACCTCCTCCTCCTCCCCCCCAGAAATGGGTGCAACTGAACAGAAATGAAGCCATTGTACGTTGCAGAATGCCACAGAGGAGGATTTGAGCTGAATTACCTGCACTGGAAATCTAACCACAGGAAGAGCGTATGCGTGATATTTAAGCATCCCACACATTTCACATAGCACATTTCTACACAGACCTGCCAATCCCAGGGACAGTTTTTGCTTAACAACACTCAGAAAGACAGCTGATGGGGGCAAAAGGCAGCACTTGGCCTGCAGGGTCTGGCCTGCACAACCGCTATGCTGCAAGACAATCCTATGGCTTAAATCTGTATGAGCTGGCTTCTTGGGCAAGTAGCAGCAGCTTTTTTTTCTTTTTTTCCTTAAATTTATATTGATATATACACACACACACATATATATATATATATCTCCATTTTCATGATTCCTGCATGCCTTGAACAACACTAGAAAACCAAAAGCTCACTTACTTTGCCTGGTTACTCAGAAGAGTTACATTCACATTTCCCAGCACAAGATTCAAGTACAGACTAGAAGACAAAAAAAACAAGAAGTCACGTAAGTCTGTTTTATTCAGACGGGACGGATGAAGGCAGATTAGTCTGTCCTGTGTGAATGAGCAGCGCTTGGCTGTGGGGCAAAAGACTCTCCACAAACTCCTCTGCCAGGGCTGCCTTCAGCCTAGGCTTCTACCCATGGAGCTCCGCTCACCAGAGACCTTCAAAAGGGCAACTTGAGCAAATGCCAGCACAGGATGGGGAAAACGAACCAAATGAGGGTAAAAAAAAAAATCAAGAGAAAAAGAGAATCAAGGCACTTGGACCAGATTACTCCACAAATGACATCAACATCTCCTGCTTCGCAGGGGTGTCAGAACTCAACAACTGAAAGAAACCTGGTCTATCAATCTGACTTGAGGCAAAGTGCAGATCTGAGCTACATGCACTATTTAAATTAAATGAAAGAGAAAACTCTTGTGATGATTTAGTCTTTAAAAAAAACTAGCACAGGAAAGCAGTGCTTAGTAAGCTTCTACTTAACTGTAGATTCACTAGCTAGTGAATCTTGTGCACGACTGACACAACAACTCTGCAAGACATTTACAATTAATTGTTTTACATATATTTCTTCAATACACACATACTTCAATACASACATACACCGCTGACGTGAGCATTCAAAAATCTGTCTTCTTAGAGCACGTGCCGGCTCTGACAAAGCACATACCTGTTCTTCTTTGGCAAGTAGGCTTCCATGTCAAAGAAAACATTTTGCCTCTCTTTGATCTGGCTGCTGATTTGCTGTATGAGAGCAAATTCTTCAGGACTAGCTCTGGGCTTGCACCTGTGAGAACATAAAAACAAGATTTTCCTGTTTACATTCTTACCTCCTTCGCATTTAAAGGAAGATAACATTGCCATAAAATCCACGCTGTCGGAAAGCTTACCCCATGGTGCACATCATTCCTGTATTTGTCAATGATTCCAAAATCATTGACAAGGCAAGCGGTAATTTGACCACCTGGTTTATTTTACTGCAGGAAATCCCAATCCACTGGTTTGTAAATAAGCTTCTCTCCACCTCGTTGACCCAAATCTATATTTCTTCAACTGCAAAAACCACTGGGGCAGAACAGAGGGAGTTTTGCTGGAACTCCCTCCAAATGTAAAAGCAGCATCTGAAACCACATGCAAACAAACTCCAAACAGACCCCAACCCCGTGCAAGTTGAGAAACCTCTACCCAGACCACGTAAACTCTTTGTGGGAGGCCAGCCGAAGACAAAAGCTCACTGTATAGCCTTTAAAAACAAAACATGACCTCACGCATCCTACAGAGCCGCCAGCACCAGCGTGTCAAACCCACTTAGACCAAGAGGTCCATTGAGGCCCCGCACAGCTCGTGGTGGGTTGGGCAGAGGAAGGTGGGGAAAGGGACCTGCTGCCTTGTGTTTCTCCGTGTGCTCCCGCTCCTGGGAGAGCCACGTTGGGGAGCCCGGGCGGCTCCGCGCCCCGATCTGCAGGACGAGGACAGGGCCTGCACTGAYCCGCAACCCGGAGGCTGCGGAGCTGCTCCCCCGAGGACATCCCGGAGCAGCGGGACACAGCGGTCCTCCCGTGCTCATCGGAACCCACGGGGAACCCTACAGAGCTCGCAAGGGATGCGGACGGGGCGTTAAGCTGCGCAGCTCCCACATCTACAGCAGAGCCCAGGAGTCACTTAAAAGTCTCCTGTAAGCTGCCAGGCTCAGCCCTCCAAAAGCATGTTTCCAAATACCAAATGAACCTCAGGGAAAGAGGCTGTCCATAAACTACCAACAGGCTGGTTTCTGAGCTCACAACTGCAAGTGCTGAGGGCACAGTTTCGCAGYTGTGGTTCTCCAGCCATAAAATATTTCATGCTGAAACAAAAGGCACAGCTGCTGACTTACTGGCAAGCTGCAGTTTTACCAATTAATGCAAAGCAGGGCGCAGCGGAAGCAGCTACTGWGGGTGTTTGTGCTGCTACTTTCAGGCCCACACACACCAAACGGAGCCTGCGGCTCCCAGAGATCATCTGAGCATCCCAAGGCAGTTCCCTCAACAAGGTAAATCAACCACAGAGCAATTTGCGAGTGCTAAAAATCCCAAACAAATCAGCCACTTAGGAAGGGGAGCACCTGCTCCCTCGGTCCCGTTACCGTTGCAGTTGGTGCTTCAAGTCTTTCAGCGTCTTCTTCTGCTTCTGTATGGAGCTGCTGCAGGCCGTCTGCAGGCTGGTGACTTCTTCAAGCTTCTGCCTGTAAACTTTGTGAGCCTCCTGCGGGTGGAAGAAGGGCAGCTGGTGAGAACTGCAGATCCCATTTGCTCTCGTTCACTGAAGGGAAGCAAGCAAAACCCTCCAGACCCATCTTGGTATCACTTAGGTCTTTCCAATGACCTTTCCCGCTCGGCAGCTCATCATTCATCCACACGGAGAGGAAAGCACAAAACCCACCACATGGAAACCTCAGTGTTCAGGCAAGTCTCCTGGCTGCAGCTGCTGCTTTTATTCCACACGCACTCAAGCAATTTAAGGCACCATGTCCTGCTTTAAGCACTTAAACCCTTCCCCATTGCCATTGGAGGCTCCTTGTGAGGAGCACTTTCACCGTTGCTTGTTTACCCCCCAAAGCCCCAAATTAGGTGGCTTGTTTATCCCCCAAAGCCCCAAATTAGCGCTTTCCGGCTCCAATTGGGACACAGGCACCCTTTGGAAGCCCATCCTGAGCAGCACTGCGGTTTCAGCTCTGCTTTTAGCTCGGGGAGGCCAAAACGGCACCACGGGGGTTGTCCTCCCGCTGCTCCCGCGTAGGCCCTGGCACCAGGACCATCCGCATCCGACCCCAGACACCTTCCCAGGGAGCCGGGCAGGCGCCAGCGCTCCCGATCCGGGATGGGCTTGGTTTGGYCAGCCAGGACTTGGTGGGTCGCACAGCAACGCGCTCTGCTTTAGGAGGGCTTAACACATTGGCCAGGAAGAGCCTCTTTGACCAAAAAAATCCCAAGAAAATGAAAACACAACAACTTTTACTTTGGCCCCAGCGCGAAGGGGGCCGTTGCTGAGGAAGGAGCCGCAGGGACGGGCAGGGGATGCCCAAAGCGCTGCGGGAAGCTGGAGCTGGAGGCGCCTCCATCACCGGGCRCCATCCGACCCTGCGGACCCTCCGGAGCGGCTCAGGACACAACCGGGTGCCCCTGCCCTGCAGCCAGGTCCTCCAGCAGGGACAGGCCAGGAAAACCAAAGGAAAGCGAGGAAAGGTGATGATGGAAGGGAAGGAAGCAGCGGGAGGGAGAAGAGATGCCACACAATGCGATACAGAGCCAAGGTGACGCAACGCAAAGGCACGGAAAGGCAAAGAGATGCGGTGGGATGCAAAGGGAGGGAGAGGCGACCACGCGAAGGGAAGGGAAAGAGATGCGAGGCGGCGCGATGCAAAGCAACGGCAGGGAGACGCAGCGCAACGCCAAACAGCGCCGGGTAACGCAACGCAGCGCGATGCAACGTAGCGCAAGGCAGGGCCGCCCGGGCCCCGCGGCGCCGCCTCACCTGGAGCTGCCCGAACTCCTCCTCCAGCTGCCGCCACTCGCCGCGGCTCCGCTCCAGCTGCCCCCGCATGGCGCGCGGAGACCCGCCCGCCCGCGCCACCCCAGCCGGCGGCGGCGGCGCCCGCCCGCACCGCAGCGCGGCGCGGCGGCCACGTGCGCCCCTGACGTCACCGCGCGGGGCGGGGCGCGCCCCTCCCGCCCCGCCCGCTTTCCCGCCCACGGGCGCCCCCTCAGCGCCCTCCGCCATTTTGAGCCGTGTTTCCCCATAGGATTTGTGCTTTTGGGTGTGTTGAGCTGTTGCGTTTCACGCGCTCCTGCCCCCCCCGGGACGTTTCCTCACAGAGGTGGCCGAAGGAGTGGGAGGGTGCAGGTGCTGCGGCAGCGGTTGTCAAATAAACACCACAGAGTGGTTGTGTGGGTGTGGAATGAGCTGCGTTGTGAATATCAGAAGATGATGGTACAATTCCTGACCTTTCTTGCTGTTATAAGTAATAATCTGCTGGGTGGCAGGGCTGGTGAATCAGTACTGGGCCCTGGTGGCTGCTGGGCTGTGTAAGCAGGCTCATGCGTGGGCCTGCTCCAAAGTGGTGCTGCTTGAAATTTGCTGAAATTTTCCTCTTTTGTTACGGAGGGACATGAAATGCAGCCAGCAACCCCATGACCAGCRTCAGCTCTTGGTTTCCAGAGCAGTCTGCTGAGGTGGTGACTAGCCATGGGGATGCGGAACTGCTGGTTTGGTTCTTGAGGGAGGTTAGAGATAGTCTGGAGATCAAAAACATGCTCTGATCATTTTTAAGGACAATAATTGGTGAAAATGGCATGTGGTAAGGGTTGYGGCAGTTTCCTCTGTCTACATCAAAGTTTTCCCAAATTTTTGCTTTTGTCTGTAATCCTCTGTAACAAGATTTTAGGTTACCACTGGATATGTATTAAAAACATTCTAGCCTCTGCTGTTGATAGGAAGAGTCATTTTAAAAGCATGTGGTTCTGGAGATGTTCCCTCATTTCCTGAAAGTAAAGTCATTGTTCAGGCTGAACCAGTGCTTCACCTCTCTGTCGCTTCCTAACATAACATTAATGTTGCGTGTTTTCATTTTTACATGCTTGGCAGGGGCTTTTTACCATGAAAACACTGCAACAAAATAGTTTTTTTTTTTTTTTTCTAAAAAACAGTGCAGAGTGTGCTGAAAGACCAGCGGTTACACAGCAGAGCATGGGAAGATTTTTTAAAAGAAATTTGGACAATTGGGTGGGGATTTACTGTTTGAGGATGTAGAGCAGAAGTTCAGGGATCATCAGTCTGTTGTATGAAGCAGCTGTTGAAGGACGTGGCCAACTCGACTGAGAATATAGGACCTCAGGTCACCCTTCAGCTGCTGGAAGGACTAACTCTGCTCTGTCCTATATGAGCTCCCGTCAGGTGCCTCTGCACCTGGCTTGCTGGGCTAACACCCACTGCTAATCACACAACATACCCACAGAATACATAACAAATCATAAATATCCCTTAGAACTATTCACTGATGTGCTATAAACTTCAAAGGGAACTTAAGAAAGCTCTTAAAATCGTTCTTGGATATTTGCCCCAGGCTGTGATTTTGCAGCCTCATTAAACATTTGTTGGGATGTGGTCCATTGTTTTTCCAGGCCRAGGCCTCATGGAAGACGCATGTTCACGAGCTGGAATTTGTGTGTGGCTTCCACCAAGGGCTCAAGTCTATAGGTCTCCTGCAAAGGCAGCGAGCAAGAGTTTACTTAGGGATCATCAGAGCTTTATTAAAAGCATCACTATTTCTTTCCCACCTCTCTCAACAAACAACCATTCTCGCATGTTTTGGGGTTGTGTATAATTAAGACCCTGAAATACTTCTTTACACTTATTTAAAATCTGCTAATTATTAATATTACTAACTCTAGAGACCTGCATATTCTTCAAATGAATTTCATTTAACAAGTAATGTGAGTGTAATGTGGCTATCAGTACAGCTGATTCTAAGCGTATTTAATCTTGTCGCCATTACAGAAGATTTCAGAATTACTGGTAATCGCTTTCCTTCTCCTGGGAGATTATAGCTGCTTGCCTAGTCTCATTATTTCAATCACGTCTTTGGGCAAAAAAAAACAAAGCCATGTGACACCAGTTAGTTTTTTTTACTAGTACTAGGGAATTTATCTATTGTGGTGTATATAACTTTATATACTAAGGAAGGAAACTGCAGATTTTAACGATGTCTGTCAATTAAAAGGACTAATACTTGTGAGTTAACACTCATACATGATTTATATCATATCTATACTTCTCAGAGACTAAAATGAGCATATCACTGTCCTGAACATCATTCCTTTTCTTCGAACAAAACTTTGATTTTGCAGTTTTTTTTTTTTTTTTGACTATCTAAAATGTGTTCCTGAATGAGATTTCCTGTAAGAAGAGATTCAAATATCATTGTAAATGTTCATCATCTCAGGAGAAAAATATCTTAGGGTTAAAAATCCCTCCTAATGAAACAATATATCAGGATAATATAATGTGAGGTCTCTTTTTTTTTTCTGTCTGATTAAAATGTATCCTTAAATATTTTGTGGACTGTAGCTTGTTGCACCCAGTGGAGAATCCAAGACCTTCCTGGGCAATTAAAGAAATGCAGGAATTCTTTTAGCAGCTRCAAACCATTCAGAAATAGGGAATTTAAAAGGGAGTCTCCATATAGCCACATTCCCAGCTCCTCCTCACCTCACTTTTCTTGCTCTGCATTAACAGGTTCTGCAGCTCAGCTGGAGCATGGAGCACATTCCCAAGAGCAGGAACCTGGGCAGGTACCATTGCCTCCAGCCTCCTACCTTGTTTTTGGAGACAGTGATTTCAGGCCATGCTCTGTTGTCGCTGGGATCCAGGTGTGTCATGCAGGCGCTTCCTCCTTCGTTGCTGGTTAGTGCAAGGTTGTTCTTCTCAGCCCTTTGCAGAGCAGGATGCCAAGCTAGGCTGGGTTTTGTGGGGCCTCCTTTGTTATTTCCCAGCACCTCTGGATCACTCTGGATTTCTGGAACTCCTCTGGCTTCAAGGCTATAAAACTGTGTCTTAAACTCGTGCTAACGCATGAAGAATAGTGCCTTTCCTCTGCATATTAATATTTAAGAACATTTTTATAGGTATCTTGAAAGTCTAATCTTCTGGCTTTTTAATGGTTGGCTTCTGCTACCAGAGCTCTTCTCAGGTCTTTGTACAGTAAATCACAATATGAAATCGCTGTTTTACCTGCAGCTTAAATTAATCCCCAAATCTTCAACTCTTCACTGCTAGAAAACCTATCAAAAAAGCTGAATTAATAAATCAAGCTAAAGATCACAGCAAAAAAATGTGACTSCTTGTTCTTTTAAGGTTAAAATCTGTTTAAGTATGTGTACTTACAATAATACGTGTATAATCAGATGGGAACTCTTTTCCAGTTCCAGYCTTCCAGAGTATTCCTAAATGGAGATTCCTGACATTCTTTTCCCCTGTGCTATTTGACTCTGTTTCCTTATCTGCTTTTCCCCATCCTCAAAATATTCTTTCCAGCACAGTGCAAACTAGAAGGGACRAAATGTGTTTGTGGATAAGTTAAGTCCTTATTCTAACATCAAACCACGATAAGCCCTGATAAAATAAATACTTAGTGCATATTTCAGCTGGAAATTGGTTCTGCTGGTCCTGTAGCTTGGGTTCATTCCTCAGCAAAGGTCTTGAAACAGGTGTTGCATAACTCCCAAGTATGGCCTAATTTATCTTCATGCGAGGATTGTTTTTAAAGCAATTTCAAGGGTCCTACATGGCAGTCTACAGATGTGCAGGAAATAATTCTGCAGCTTTGGGTAACTTCACTGCCTGACGCCAGAATCCTGCATTTGAACAGTGAATTTGCAGCCGTTAACTGGAGACAAGTAGCTGTAAACCTGCTGCAAAAGGGATGAATGGGAACAGGGTATCTGGTGAGCATCAGCTTGAAAGACCTTCTAGTAAACACTTCACTTCGAATGAGTGGGTGTTTGAACATTGCAAATAACCTASAGTTCTTATCTTAAATTATTTTAAGAACAACTTCTTTTACCTTCACAGAGCTAATCCAGCCAAAGCATGGCAGAGAACCTGGATAAATACTTTTCCCTGCAGCTCTCTCCTAAGCAGAAGTTAACCCGTTAAATGTGTAACTCAAACCCTTCGTTCCAATCCCACCCAAATTCTGCTAATAKCAGCTCTTAAAAGCAGATCTGAGGGGAAGCTCCTTGGAACCGCTCCCACTCCATCTCCATTCCCCTCCAAACCTGCCGCCTGGGTCGAGCCCAGGGCCCTCCTACCTCTTCTTCTGGCTTCTATTGCCAACGTAGCAGCAATAAAACACACATCTTAACGTCCCACTTCCAAAGTATGTTGTTGTCACACTCTTCACCTTTAGCAAATCCCAACATATGTTTCTCTCAAAGCTTTTTTCTAGGAAAGACGGGATGAGGCAGCCGGTTGTGGTGCAGGAGGGTGAGGTTTGCTCCAGCTCCGCCGTGGCACACCCCGCCTGCAGATTCCCCTTCCAAAAGTGCTGGTGCACAGAGCAAAGCAGAGGGACAAAATCAGGCAGAACCAGCACATCTTGCAGGTGAATMCGTCTCCCTTATCCCTCACACCCGCTTTCTCTCTGCAAATCCCTCCTGTTGGGAAGGCCGAGCCCGCGGGCCGGCTCCGCGGTCCTTCCGGGAGTTTGCTGGAGTTGCTATGACGACTCGGCAGCTACAGGCAGACGGTGGCACMGGAGGGACCGCGCGCCCGGCGTCCCACCAGGTTGGTGCTGTGGGGCCCTGCGGGACGGGGCCAGCTGCACCCCTGGTTGTGCAGAGAGGGATCTGGGGCGGCGCGGGGTCCTGCGGGCAGCCCAGGGGCTTGGCCACAGCCATGTGAGCACGGGGCAGCGCGTCGCTCTGTGTGGGGCCAGCGGCAACACAGACACATGTTGCTGCCCTCCCACCATTCCCAAGCCCAAACCTCCCAGAAAGGTCCAAGAGAGAGACTGGCTTCCACATAAAGAGCCGGAGCATGGCCCGATGCTCTGCCTGCACCGGGTTGTCTTCCATCCTGGCAGAGCCACTTCTGGTTCACCCTGGACCTCCTGCAGCTTTTGGGGACCTCAGTGGTGCAGGGGTGAAGGGCTGGGCTCCCCAGGAGGTCCTCAGGGCAGCCAGGGGCTCCCCTTTGCAGCCAGTTGTATTTTTCAAATTGCCCTTTATTAATGCATGGTTAATTTTCTTTGAGGTTAAATTATTTTTAATTACTTAAATTGCCTTGCTGTGGATTGCTGTAAAGAGACAAGAAAAAAATGGCTTCCCATAGGGTCAAACAAACCGAGACAGCATTTCTTCCAATACTTCTGATTTCCTCCAGTTTTCCTTCCTCCTGCAATCCCAGAGACGCTACTCAGGCAGCCTCAGCTATGAAGAGCACACAGCAGGATCTCGGGAGGACACGGGCTCCGCGCGGACCAGTTCAGAGACGCGCAGACTGGAGCGGCAGCAGCAGCCTCTAGCCGCCGGAGCGGGAGCTGCAGCCCAAGGAGCTGCCTCCAGCGCCCCGAGTGCCGACCGAGGGGCCCCCTCTGCAAATGCAGCCCCGATATCTCCCGTTTGGAACAGCCATATGGAAAGAAGCCCTCTCTTGGTCTGCGCTGCCCCACGCAGGCTGCGCCCGCAGGATGTGCTGGGTGGATCACCAAAGTGAAAACTCGGTTTYGGTTTTTAAGTGTTATCCTTTGAATTTAGGAGGAGACCAAAAAATGGGGTGACATCGCCTCGAGGCCGCCAGCAGTGGCACTGCTCCGGGTTGCTGCGGCGTTTCCTGAACTTTCCCCGCTTCCGAGGCCTGAGCTCACAATCGCGGCCCTGCATCTGCCTCGCCAGCACCCGGTGGTAAGGAGGAGCGGAGCAAACRGATCTGAGGAATAGCGGCCCTGGGAGGCCCTCACAGAAGGGCTTTCAGCAATAGCATCCCCCCTGTGGGGTTTGAACAACCACCTTCCCTCCACAGCCACCTGGAGCATTAGAAATGAATCAGAACTACTTGTTTTCCCAGTTCCAGTTTCTGGCTTTCTTCCCTTAGCCATGCCCAGAAGCATCAGCCTTTCTCTGGCCTCCAAGGCTCCTCAGGGTCTGCAAGGATGAGGACAGGAGGGGGAGCCCAGGAGACAGGAGTGGAGCGCATCCCGTGCAGGCAGGGCTCCTGCCGCCCTTGGGATCCAGCTAGGCTTCTTATTGCCATTTATTTAAGTCGGCATTTATTCAGAGATCCCAGGAGACCACTCTCACCCCTGAGGCTTTGGCCACCCCTCCCTGCTGAACGGGGAGCTGCTAAGAGCGCCCTCCTGCTCATTGCACTTTTATCCTGCCCATTAAAGGCAGACTTAGTGACCAACGTGGGTCACTACGTATTCAAGTGCCCCTCACAACTAGGCTGCTGTTTCCCTACGTGCAGGGATAACATCCCCCTTTTTTGCTTCCAGGACTGCTTGCTCCTGCCTCCAGCCGAGAAAAAGATGCCCCTTGTGAAAGTCCCAGCACCTGTAGAGCCTCTCTGGCACGAGTGGGACAGGAAAGCGCAGAAAAGTGGATTAAGGCACACGGTGTACGCTGTGAACGGGGACCAGTATACGGGCGAGTGGCAGGACAACTTGAAGCACGGTGAGATCCTGCTCCCAGGGTGCCGGTGTAGATGTCTGGGAGAGTCCTTAGGGCAGGAGGCAGGCAGCACTTGGAGATGTTCATCCGTGTGCCACAGTCTGGTTGTTAGGATATAAATGCTACGGTATTTAGGCAGGTATTTAGGCCAGGCAAACGTGTGCTCAGAAGTATCACTGATCAGTAACTAGAAAGGATTTTGCCTGCGCGCCGCTGCAGAGCAAGGGCAGGAAACACCTAGATTAAGGCAGAGCTACCCCCTAAGAACACACTTGTCCTCGGGAGGGATAACTTTGGCTCCAACCTTGGCCTGTGCTCAGGATGAAAGCACATCTGTGCGGAGAGGAGAGCTGGACGCAGCGCTGAGCGGCCAGGCCACGCCAGGCTGGTTTACAAGCAGCAAACTGAGGTTTGGGGAGCTGAAGCTCGTTCACCACAGGCCACCCAGGCAGCCCATGGTGCAGATTAATGACGCATCCAGCTTGGGCAGCTGAACCAACTCTGAGCCGTAAAGCGGCCCGTGGCGCGGGCGCAGGGCTCTCCCGCGGCCCGGGCRCCTCTGGCAGCAGCAGCACCTCGCTCTGCTGCTCCTGTGGCGGCATCGGGACGCGCAGCCAGCCCTGAGGGCAGCCCTGGAGACACTCTGGACATGATTCCCATTCTCCTTCGCACCAGGCAAGGGCACGCAGCTCTGGAAACGCACCGGAGCCATCTATAAGGGTGACTGGAAGTTTGGGAAACGGGATGGTTATGGCTCGTACAGCGTCCCTGACCCTGTCACCAAGGAGTACAAGAAGGTGTACACAGGCTGGTGGAAAAACGACAAAAAATGCGTGAGTTTTCCTTGGCCTCCCCCTACCCTACCCCAAAATATGGGGAAGAGATGGGTGCGCGCATGTGAAAAAGTCACTTTAAACACAGATTTTTTCCAAAAACATCTGTACTCCAAGCCTGAATAGAAGGTGCAGAGAGATTTCAGGGAAATGAGTTTGTGGCACAAGAAAATGAAAGCAGGAGTTGCAGMTTTTTTATTTTGGCCTCTATTCCCACAGGGGAGAGTCTTCTCCCAGCCCCACCGGCTTTGGCTGACCCAACTTTATTCCCTTTCCCACTTTAGGCACTGTGGGAGCTGCATCACCTCCCAAAGCCAGCAACAGGGAAGAAATATTCTGGGAGAAGCAGGAAGATCGAGATTCCCCCCAACCTGCTCGTGCCCGGGGTTTTCAGTGTGGGAATGTGTCCAGGGGCATCTGCAATCCCGCCCGGCCTCCAGACAGCTCCTGTAGGACCCAATGCTGCCTCTTCACCTGCAGCTTAGCTGTGTTTGATATCCTGTGTCTTAATCTTCCACACCCATTAGTTTAATGACTACTGTGTTTCAATCGGCCAGAGGAACTTGTCGATAGAGCAGGTCTTACAAGCACGGCACAGCCCAGCAGCACACCCGCCCAGAGCTGCTCTTTCCCAAGTTGGGCAGTGGCATTGGACAAATAAGCCACGCTGATTTACAAGTTAAGGCTGCCATGTAAATCTCCATTTTTTCTAAAGCCAACCTAATGAGCAAGTGGTCTGGTAAAAATCTGTTAAAAAAGGTGATCTGGATCTTTGGTGCAAAACCCTTTTTGGAGCATTTGCTGCTCTGGCCGTGGGCAGCCTGCACTGCCTTTTGTGTCTGGCCCTAGATGCAGGGAGCAGCTTCTGGCGGCCCTGGCAGGTGGGCGGCTCYGTGGCTCGAGTCTCTCCTGTCTCATTCCCTGAGAATATGTTTGGGATGATTGAGCTTTGGAGAGAGATTTATCGTGATATCCAGGCATTACTAGGAGGATTTTTTTTTCTGCTCTGAAAACCTCCCATTTACAGCCATGATGTTTAATAAAATTCATGCTCAGAAAGATCAGTTCTTTCCAGAACTGATTTTGGGGTTTTTTTTTGTGGCGAGAAACTCGTGCTTTCCTCCTATGGAGTAACTCCGCTGCTGTTATGCCAGTACTTCTCAGGGATCCTGGGCTTACAGAGCACAAGGCAGAATCAGTTCTGCAGTGAGCGTCACTCAGAGGCCCCTGGGCAGCCTAGGGGAGGATTTGCAGGGCCTGGGCTGACCAGTCTGCAGCAAATGTAACCACGGCCACGAGGCAGAAAATTCCTGCTTGAAGAGACAGGCCTTTTTTATGCTACATGTCCTGCGCAGATTTATGTACTAGTAAACCCCCTTTTTAACTAAATGGTAGCAACAATCACACCAAAAATATCACACTGAGTCACAAACTGCAGATTTTATCACAGGAGCAAGATCATTCTGCAAAAAACAACCCAGCTATTACCTCTCACTTCCTTAGGCACGCGAAGGGCTAGCACTAAACATGCATAAAAAACATCAGGGCTGCTAATGGGCCGTGTGTGCCCCGTGCAGGGCTACGGGACGACGTTCTACCCCGGCGGGGAGTACTACGAGGGCGAGTGGAGCGGCGGGCAGCGCAGCGGCTGGGGCCGCATGTACTACGGGGACGGCTCCATCTACGAGGGGCAGTGGCTGCGGGACCGGCCGTGCGGGCAGGGGATGCTGCGCCTGCGTGAGTGCCCCCTGCGCCCGCGCTGTCCCCTCTGTTGCGCCCTCCTGTCATTCCCTCGTGTCATTCCCTCCTGTCATTCCCTCCTGTCATCCCCCCCCGTCATTCCCTCTTGTTTTTCCCTGGTGTCATTCCCTGGCGGGCTTTGTTTGAGCCCACGCGCACCAAAGCTTTTCCTTGCTGTCATTTACGCTGAAACAGCGGGGATGGTTGGGGCAGAGATAATAGGCAAATCCCTCCTGCCAGCTGGGCGCTTTGCCAGGCCTGCTTCCCTGCTCCCACACACCAAAGGGGAATCCGGTTTCCAGGATAAGAAAAGGGACGTTTCGGCCTTAGCTCCATGCCCGCTCTCGCTTCYAATGCTAGCTCTTGTCGCATGAACAGAGGGGTTTCCTGAGCTCCATCCTTCCCAGGAATGACACCAAGCGTGTCAGAGATGGGCTGGGAACAGTCTCATCACAAGAAGAGAAAYTTGGATTTTTTTTTTTAATTTTGCTTACAGTTTAATCCATTTGTCCCCAAAGCCAAGAATCCCGAAGCTCTGCACTRCAAGACGCTCTGTCCCAGGGATGTTTGCGGCTCTGGCACGTTATCCATCTATTGTTTCTCCTTGCAGCAGGCTCAAGGCTAGGAGGTCACTAAGCCCAGCAGCGAGGAGGACTAGCAGGGCCATTGCTAAGCACCCTGGGTGAGGCAGGACGGCCAGTGCCCACTGTGGATTCCCTTTGGGCCAATATCTCYTGATAAAATTCATGCAGGGAAGTCACCTGCCCGATGCGCTCGGCTCCCRTAACCGTCACCTCCATGGGTCCAGTCCAAGTCCTTCTTGGTGGATCATAAATTCACTGCTCTRTGGACACAGCTCTGTGTCCATTCCCAGTGACTTCAAGCACAGCCTGGAGGTGGCTGCGAGCTGGATTCCTTTGGGTTAAAATTAGCTGGAGCAATTACTTGGTACCCGTAAGCTTAATGCATTGAGCTCAGCCGCTGGAAGCRGGCCCAGGTGCCGGCAGCTCCATGAGGGTGAAAGGGAAGGAGCTCTTTGGTGGGTCACCATGAGCTGCAGCTCCAGATCAAATTGCCGGCGCTGGCAGCGCTCCCGGGCGGGCGATGGCGCTCAGGGGGCCGCTGCAGCCCAGGGCAGGCGGGTGAGGAGCAGCTCGTGGCAGCTCCGTGTTGGGAGCAGCAGCCCCCCTGCCCCACCTCCTGCCGCAGGAAACCAGGGATCCCTYGGACGCCCAAGGGCATTTCCACCAAGAAGCTGAAAGGCACAAAATCCCTGTGCGTTTGGGCCAGAAAATACTGGAAAACTGTCTTGGAAAAGAGACAGGAGAGGAATCTCCCAGTGAAAACAGGGGCACCTGGATATTTGCCAGCCCACACAGGCATGGACGTGGTTGCMCTTCTCAGCCAGCTCCACTGGACCAACGTGCTCTGCTTCGCTTGCAGCTCTGCGTTTGCAGCAGGCCTTTCCCATCCACCAATGGACTCATGGAGAACAGCTTGTTGCCTCCCCAAAATCTCTCCCAACTTGCAGAAAAACACAGGGAGATCCAGTACAKCTGGAAAAACAGCCTGTAGCTGTGTGCATGAACTGCTTGGACCTTCACAGCAATTCCTGAGCTGTGGTTCMTTGAGGAAAAATAAAACTACAAGGATTATTTGAATTTAAGATTATTTTGACCGCTCACACGGTGCTACTGTTCCTTGCCCAGAGGAGCAAACTTCTCCAAGCTGCACTTCCAGGGTGATCAGTGGCTGTGGCAACTCTGAAACTGGTGGCCTGTGATTTTTCATGTCATTAGGAGCGATTCAGCTGCTCATTCCTTATCCCGAGCTCACTTGCTCAGAATATACAGGAAAAAACATGATATCACCAGAAGAACAAAGAGAGTGAGTGCATCTAATGTTCCAGGAGTGTGGGCTTTAGCTGCAGCGTTTTCTCATTCCAAGGCACAGCAAATAGGGCACACTTAAAACCAAACGCCGCAACCCGCTGCACCTCTCTCCAATTACCAGCCAGGGACAGATCAGGAGGCAAACAGATGATCTGCTCTTCTGTTGCTTTTCTCTGTTGATTGGTTTCCTGGGTAGCCACCTAATGAAATGGTGAAAATTTCACAGTTTGTTCCTGTATTTAATTGCAGCAAATGAAAATCGGTATGAAGGAGGCTGGAAAGAAGGAAAGAAGCATGGACCAGGGAAATTTTTCTACTTGGACACAGGACAGTTGTTTGAAGGTGTCTGGGCAGCGGATATACCAAAATATGGAACTATGATTGACTTTGGCAGAGATGAAGCTCCTACCCCGACTCAGTATCCAATTCCTAAGGTAATTACCTRGAAATTTCATTTTTCCTAACGATGCTTTTCGTTAACAACATTCATCAGAGCTCAAGGCATCCATCCAGGTAGCGCTTCGTTCTCCGAGCAACTGCTCACGCGGGCTCCAGGCTCGCTGCCTGTGTGCTCAGCTTCTCTTGGCCAGCTGTGTCCCAAATGGCCCTTTGGGGACAAAAAGCCTATTTAGCACCAAGCGACCTGTGAAAGCCCCACACTGGAGCCTCTGTTATTTGCTGCACATCTGAGAAAACCATAGTTCTCATGCACCTAAACTGCCTAGAGACCTGGACCAGCACAAAGGAAACAGGGACAATAGAGGCAGAGACAATAGGGGGATTTACGTCAAAACCAGATGGTTTCTCCAAGCCAAACTGCCCACGCAGACAAACTGCCCAGCAGCTGTGATGCTGCCCTCAACTACGTCCTTTGCACAGACACCTTGAGTTAGGGGCTCTTCTGGGTCCACCAGCCTGGTGGGCAACAGGGCCCGGCTTCCCACCTGCTTTAAGGCAGAGAGATGGAGGGATATCCAAGAACCAGCGTCTTCTGCTCCCTTTGTCCCTTGAGGAAGCAGCTGATTGACATGGGAGCCATCCCTAGTCATCCTCCCAGGTTTGTGACAAGCACGATGGAGCCCACGGGCACCCACTGCCATGGGAGGTACCCAGGCTGGTGGATACATCAGAGCCCTACGTCCCAAATAAGCTCCCATCATCTCTTAGCAAGATGCACAGCTTCAAGGCCTGGTCAGAACATGCAGGGCTGCAGCACTCCAATCCTGCAGGGAACAGCATGGCCGTGGCCCACAGGATCAGATGTGTTTGGCTCCCTGGTCCCTCACAACAGGCAAAGGGACAAGGTTGTTGCAGTCAGTATTGWGCAAGCTGCACCAAAACTCCCTTTCTTTACTGCATCCTTAGTTTCCTCCTCCTGTTTTAAATCTACTTTCCCCAGCACAGGCTCTCCAAGCATTTTTGACAATCAGTGAATTCTCCAAGTGCTAAGTACACCACAGCAGTGTAAAATAATAAACACCAACTCAACAGAGAGAAACAGCCCAGTCCTTGGTTGCAAGAAGCGTGCAAGGCGCAGTACTTCTGTAGCTCAGAATGTTTATCCTAAGAGGTTCATCCAGGGTTACCCAGGAGATCTGCTTCTTCAACGGCCTAGCCCCAGAGTAGCTGGATGAATTACTGACTTACCGTCTTGCTAAGGCAGGATGTTCAGGCCTAGCTGTTTATTTAAACTCCCCAAAGACKAAGATACGACCCAGTTTTCTTTCTACTCTGTGAACAAAAAGAAAACATCAACTTTTGCTGTTGTTCCTACACTTTTAATTGGAAGAGAGTCATTTAACTCTCAAAATATGAAGGAAATAACAGGTAAAGGAAAAAAATAGTTCAGATGTTTATTAGGCCTTTGTTAAATTTCCTCCACAAGAAACTGTTAAAGAAATGTAGATGTAGGGTGAAAGTGTGTCCTTGTGCATAGGAAAGGCTCAACACGACGGATCAGGATATTTGTATTATAGTTACTGAGCCAAGACTTCAGAAAGCAAAACTAAGAAAACACTGGATCCTTTCTGCCTGGGCGAAAAGCAAATTTGAACCTCCCAGAAAACATGTGGCTATAAAGCAAGTTGGCCTCAGGTGACAAATTCCCGGTCAGTAACACAAGGCTTGGAGACCACATCCAGTTACACGCAGCACTTTGGACTCAAGTGACACCTGTTTCACCTGCTTTACTGATGCTCACTCAGGTGACACAAGGTACTCACCTACTGGAGCTACCAGTGTGACCAAGGGGCTGCAAATCMAAGTTTTGTGCAGGAAAATGGCATTGCTGAAAGGGAAACAATGCGTGCCACACATAGCTACTGCAAGGAGACAAACTGACATCCCAAACGTTAATAAAAGCAGAAAAGTGCAGCAGTGTTTCTGAAATGGTAATTGAAAGGCTGCGATATAAACTAAAAGCCCTGCTCCACGGGTAACTCTCCACTAATGCTGAAGTAATCAGTATTTATAAGCCCTCTGCTTCCTCAGCTACACTGCATAATTGATTTGTGTTCTTTTTATTTAGATCGAACTCGCTGATCCAGATGGTGTTTTAGAGGAGGCCCAAGCAATGTTTGATGACAGCCAGAAATAATAGTAACTGGATCCTGAAGAAGAAAAAAAAGGATGCAAGATAAGGGCAAAACCCCGAGTTTCTCATTTGTGGCTCAGCTCTGCACTGTGGCCTGTTGGATTGGGGTCGGCCGCCCTCTCTTCCCTCAGGAACTCAAATCAGGTTCTCCTGATTTAAACTGCATTTCTCAACACCACCTCCACCCTGCCTGTGGCTTTGCTCAGAGACCTCCTACCAACCCCAGGGATTTCAAAAAACAGCAAAATGCTGGAACACAGCACAGGGACCTGTTGCTCACTCCTGTATGGGTTACTCCTCCTGTAAGGAACTAGCTCACATGTTGGTCCCCACGTATTTCACACTGACTGCAGTTCTCCAAGGCTCTGCTTTTATAGCACAGAATAGAAACCGTTGCATTTTTCTAAGGCAAATAAGCCCTTTTCCCTGCCAGAGTAACTCAATGCAACAGCTACCTGGGGACTGAGATGCCTTTCATGTCTTTTGTAGCTGAGGAGATCCCGTTGCCATTAATGCTGTCACTGATGTAAAGCACTTTGCTCCTGCGTTACCCCTGCGCCTGGCCCCGTGCTGAGGTGCCAAACAAGCCGTGGGCGACGCTCTAATCGGTTCATCTGATTTAAACTGGATTTCTGAGTGCCCCAAGACTTGTTTACAGATCACTTGGCCCCTTACCTGTTTGTGCTTCTGCATCTGAAAGATAACCTACTTTTGTATTTGCACTCTGGGAGAACAACAACAACACAGCGGTCTTAGTTCCAAGATTTAAGCAGGGCTGGCAGGAGGAAAAGCAGGCCAAATACTTTACATTCTTCATACCTGTGCCTGTGAGCAGGACATTTTATCCTTATACTCATGAAATGAGTAGCTGAATGCGTTCAAGACACTCTCAGGAATCCACATTTACCATTACCACAACACAAGCTGCAGAACAATAAGGAACATAAAGTTAAGCAGATTTTTAGGCATCTACGTGACAAATAATCAGCAACAATTGAGTGTATTTTTATTCCATTATTTTAAGTATTTTATATCTAAATCAGTGATGTACAATAACCACATTTAAAATGCTTGAGGTAAGTGCTTAATACCATTAGTATAAATAAGAGATTTAAACAAGAAAAAAATAAACAGCACTCTGAGTGCACTCCCAGTGCACTCCTGATCCTGGATACTGACTCTATCGCAGCTGCAGACTGTGCCCAAAGTGCAACTTCCGTGACCATTTCCATGACTGGAAAATATCCTCAATACTAGAGTTTCAAGTGCAGAAAATAGCCAGAAAAGCAGCTGTAGCAACAGCCCCACCGGCTTGGAACCCACCAGCTTTAAAAAGTTAAAAATAAGATTGCCCCGCTAGCTTCTAATTCCCTACTTTCCAAGCCAAAAATGCCCACTTCTTGACGTGTTGGAGAAGACCCACAAAATAAAATCAGCTACTTACACAGGACAGCAAGTAGTTTTATAAAATAAGCTAGGAAAATACATTTTCTGGACCTCCATTCATAATAAAACTACAACTCAAGTATGTAATTTACAGACAGAAGTGTAATTTAAGCCTGACAGCATCTTTCTAGCCTTTTGTTCTGGGGTGTACATTGAGCCAGATTTGCTTCCTTTATCAAGGCTCTAGGAGCCCCTTTTCCCCAMGGGAACCTCATTTAGTAAAGGATGCACAAGGCCACTTTGTGCCTGCTGGGAAGATTTCATGGCTTGGAATGCTGCTTTTTTAATGCCTTTACTAATGTAATCCTTCCAGCGTTCCCCAAACAACCAACCATGGGGTTGTAGCCCCAATTCTCATCATCAGAATTATATCAGAAACAGTGTTTTTAGTATCCGAAGCATAATTGAATGGTAGAGCTAGAGAAAATCCAGGCTGTCCTGTGCGTGTGCACCAGAAGGACTTGTGAGAAATGGCAAATGGAAGCCGTTTGCTGCTTGTGAAGAGACCCCCTGGCCCGAAGAACAACGCTGGAAAGCAGCCCAGGTTTTCAGCCCAGGAAGGGCAGCCCTGGCAGCGTCACTGACACCACGAGCAGCCCCGGTGCTTCGCGGGGTGCTTGGGCACCTTGGCCCTGCCAGCGCATCCCGCAGGTGACAGTACAGCTGGACACGCCGGGATGCAGCCTGGSCTGAGACGTCTCGGGGCCACATCCTTCCTTGTGCTCCACACGGAGCCACGACGGGAATTCCAGCCAGGACCGCGGGATTTCATCTGGTCTCAGCGTCCATGTTYCAAAGGACTCATGCATATTAAAGCCAACAGCTTCTCCACAGAGGAAGAGCTCCCAGAGAGTTGGGATTGCATGGATTCTGAAGCAGCCCAGGACAAACACCCCCATCTTCCTTGGACAAACCTCACATCTAAGGGACCAAATGGAAGTTTTTTGCTTCAGGAGGAAAAACAGGAGTTGACACAGTAGCCTCACTCTGGCAAGATATATGTATCCAAAGGTAAGCAGCAATATTATTTACAAATAATATATTCTGATAAATACATCTACATAAAGAGAAGTAGTCTCCAGACCCTTTGGAAGCAAAAAAGTTAAACCATCTTTAAATACAACACCTCATCAAACAGATGACTTTCTGAACAAGGAAGACCAAGGCATAGCTAATTACTTGGGAATCCAACACATAAAGCACCTTTTGCTACTTGTATCTGAGGATTTATTAAAAATATATATATTTATTTGTATAAAAGTATAAAATAGTTACCACTTTGGCTTGGAAAAAAACAGTAGTGATTCTGATTTTCAAGCAGAGGAAATTTATCCAGTGATTATTTCCATCTAGTTCCTTTTTTTTTATATATATATATATATATACACACACACACACACACGTGTATATATATATATATACAGATATATATAAAAAAGAACTCCTAAATGGAAAAACAGGCTATTCTTATCATCAGATACCGCCAACTCATGAGAACCTTAAAACACTTATTGCTTTTATTTTCTTCCACCGAGGCATAGAGTCTCAGTCCAAYGCGTGTGGCCGTACCACACCACAGTAAGACTCATCATGGGTATTTTGGGGGCTATAAAATGTGTAACTGCCATGGGAAAAGGCGCTAGAGAAATCAGTGAAGTAATAATTACTTGGCAGCAAAACACAGCGGGGAAAGCGGTGGGAAAGCTTTCGCTCCACCATCTGTCAGGCTTTCCAGAGAGCACAGCGCTAGCACCGAAACCAAGTGCTAATTGCTGCGTATCCCAAGTAATTTGTATCATGCCATGCAACATGTATTGGACAAGCAGTATCTTCTAGTAAATGCCAACATCAAGTAAAGAGGAAAAGTGCTTCTCTATCCAACCCTAACAAAGACCAAAAATTACAGTGTTATTCTCCATGTATTTATGTAGCCACCATTCACGAGTAACAAGAAGCAATCTGCAGAGGACTCGTTAGGGGAGGAAGACTCACGATTACCCCACCATCCATTCCTCCAGAAGGCAGGTATCCACAGTGGTATGACAACAACACTCTTCTTTTTTTCCCCTTAAAAACGCTAAGACAACATTTATAAATCTCTCTTTAAAAACAAATCTATAGTTGAACCAGTTCATGCAGGGGGAGTCAACATGGCAAGGCAGAAGCAGAATAGTGCATTTATTTTCTGTAAGTACAGGTTTATGCAAAGTGGCTAACACCTGGGGAGATGGGATCGCCTCTGTGGTCCAGCTGATCCTGGAGCCGGGCAAATTCAGCCAGTTCGTTGAGTTCTTGAAATTGCCTGTCTGTTTTATGGCTCACCAGGGAGCGGTAGAAGTGGACTGCAAACACAATGAAGATCAGTCCAAAGGGAACCATAATAGATGTTGATGCGATGGCTGCTGCCTCTCCTGATGTGATGGTAGAGCTGCTGTTCTGGGATGAATTCTTTAAGGGGAGAAACTTCACCCAGCAGAGTAACACCACCTCTGCAAGGAAAAGCAAAGTCCCAATAACAGTAGAAAAGGCCCAGGCAAGCTCGATGTGCCGATGCATGCGCTCGTGGGGAGACTCCTTCACCGAGTTGAGATTGTGCACGTTGCTGACAGCCTCTATATTTGGAAGAATGCAAGTACTTATCATGAGTGCAAACAGGTGAACGGCAACAAGGACAGTAGTACAGGCACTGAAAGCTATCAGGAGACCTTGAGGGTAGTCATGGTTTGCATCTAGCTGGACCTCCACCATAGCCACCTGAAAATAAAGAAAAAAATCAGAATAATCCACAGTCAAATAATATTATGACAGAGATATTTTGAGTTTAAATACGCTCTTTGCAACCGTTTTTTATTGTGGGATAACTAAACATCACATTCTAGTCAATAAAAATACTTATGTAAAGAGTTCAAACATGTCAGGAGTACCTTCTGATCCAAACAAAATAATCGCCAACATTGAAATTTCTCTTCATGTTATTCTACAAGCTTTTCACCTGGCCAAAATTTATATCAGAGGTATCAAAGCACACATATTTAGGCCTTTTTATACTTATTGCTCAGCTGTAAAGCAAACTATCAATAAAGAGAGGTGCTGTTAACAGCACAGCCACGCTGCCACTTCCATCTAGCCCAGAACAGCTGGACGACACACTTGGATTCGTAAGTGAAATCTTTCTTTTCTGTGGTATATTTTACTGGCAGCTTTTGCTTTTTTACTAAGGATTGTAGGGTTTGCAGAGGGTATTAGGAAATGTTTTGTGCCCCATGTATACAGAATGAATACAAACCCTTCTGAAGTAGGTATGGGTAACATGAATGCCTGTGAAGGCAGTGGACGGCCCTTCACAATCTTGATGTGATCTTTGTTCTACCTGAGCAGTTCTGAAGGGCAGAAACCTTTCATTAAGAAGATCACCTCTCAGCTTTATGCCTTCATTCAAAATGAGCATTTAAGCAGGCTCCAGAGCACGAAGCCTCCACCACGTCCAGGGTAGAGAAGGTTGGAGGAAAGAAAAAACAGCCTCTCAGAAAAGTACAGACAAAGAGTACGGATGCTGCTTGACACTCTTTAAAAAACTTCAGGGGAAAGCTGAAAGAAGAAATTGCTAGGTTCAGCATGTTCAGATCCCACATCCCAGCAGCAGAGCAGCCTGTACCATTCAAACTAACAATTAATTGCTGCTCACAACAGAAATCCTCCTGTTCTTGTGATGAAGGCAGGAACAGAGAGACTCCCGGAGAGCAGGAAGCTCTGGAAGCAGCTCCCAGCCGTGCTTATGGACAAGCAGCGCTGCCTGGGGAAGATGCTCTGCAGCCCAGCCCTTCACTGACACACGCAGCCCTTTTATAAACTCAGATCAGGCTTAGGGAGCAGAAACTGGCATTTAAAAACAGCACTAGAAAATTCCTAAGCTGGACTCAGGTATCACCGATAAGGAAAATGACTCTAACAACACAAGTCTTCCACGTTGCAGGTGGGCTGAAGCATGTGCACAACCTACAGGTTGTAGGTGCAGGACCTAAAACCTTGGGGCACCGACGGAGTGGGTTAGACCCGGGCTCCAGCTGCACACCCGAGGCTTCGTTCATATGGCTGCCATACATTAACTCAATGTATGTAACTCAATGCTTTGCATAGGACGCTTCTTGCTTTGGTAGGGCCCAAGCAAGAGCATTCTGAGGCTCAGCAAGATCACGGCTGTTGCTCAACGGTTGCCACAACTAACCTCAAGAGCAGGAAGGGTGTAACTTCCCCCAGCTTGAACCATATCACGCTGCTCTTACGTCAAGCAAGCTTTCTCTAGAATTATGGGTGGCATCTACAGCACTTGAAAGTAGCCTCGGTACTAGCAAGTTGCTAGTCATTGCTTCAAGAAAACGGTACAATTTAGCGGCTCGGGAGATGAGAGCATCTGGAAAAATATCTCTCTCAACTCTAAAGCGGTCACAGTGCCACAGACTCCAATGGCAACGGTRAAAGAACCCCGCTGTGGCATTCAAGATACACTCATGGGAAAAGACACACGAAGTGCTGCTCCACCAACGCACTCACAGTTCTTTGCAAAAGGCAAGTTCCCAGAAGGGGAGATGGATGTTTTTCCTAAACCCTCCTCAGTGAGGATGTGAGGTGGAAGCCAGAGGGTATGTGTATAGGAAGAAGACAGGAGAGGTTTCCATGGGTTCAGAAACAGGAAGGGAAAAAAAAAGAATACGCTGAAGCTAATTAGCTGGACAGAGACACCCTTAAGCAAAAAGATGACGCACTGAGTTAAGCTGCAGTTGTAAGTCATGTGGTAACAGTTGGTGTTAACAACCCCCCGAGAGGAGTGGGGAAAGCAGGGAACACGTCTCGCCATTCCCACGGCTTCGTGGGCCTTTCAGGGCAGACTTTGGGGGGCTGGGGATGCAACGTGCCTGAAGGATGGCAGAGCCCACTGCAGTGTCGGGCTGTTCACAGGACCGCAGCAAAGGCAGCAGCAAAAACCCAGCCCATGCTGGGCTGCAAAGAGCTTGTGCACAGGCTGCCAGCGCTTGCCAGTTACAAAGCTTTTTGTTACCTGGGCCAGCCTCGAGCCAGGCACCTCGACCAGAAAGCTCTTTTCCATCAGCAGGCTCCATGCCCGTTTTCAGACAGGGGYGAGAAGCTCCTCGTCTCCTTTGTTCTCAGCAGCATTTCCAACGCACRGATCGCAGCAGCTCTTGCAAAGCCACCCTTGCAGCCCAAGGCCAAGCGAGCGTATCCAGCAGGGCCCGAGCTGTGCAAAACTCGACCTTCCCCGTGCTGCAGCAGGAGGCTTTTCCCCTCCACATCCTCTCTGAACTTTCAAGAACAGAGGCCAGTCAGGCAGGGGCCGATACGACGCACTCCAGCCCCGTTTCCTTCACCATTCTTACAGTTTCTTCAAACATTTGCCTCCTGGTTTCTACTGTGCAGCCAGCAAGGTTGCTGCAAGCATCCTGCCTTGCTACACGATCAAAGAACGAGTCAGGCTAGAAGAGATTTCAAGATGTCATCCAGCCTAATCCCCAGCTCAAATAAGAGCTAACTTTAACATCAGATCATCCTACAGAAATGACTGGCAGGCTGACTACAGCCCTCGACAAAGCTGTAAATCTGAAATACAGCTTCTTGACAAAGTTTAAGGACTCTCATGCTGTTAAGAAGCAGGACTGGAGCTCAAATGTGGTTCAAATGAGGTTCCTGCTTTAAAAAAAAAAAAAAAAAGAAATATCCTGAGCTGTGTGAAGGTTTCTGGCCTCTCAAGAGCCCTTCCACGGTGCACCTGACAAGCAGCAGCTCCAGCTTTGCGAGAAGCGAGCTGTGCCGCGCTAATGAAATTTCCACCACGATATTCCATTACGAGCAAGGATCCGTCACACACAACTGCAGACGAAGCCCGGAGAGCTCCTGCGGCTTCGGAATCACAGCAAAGGCACTGTGCTGCCTCGCTGCCTTTTGCTCGCTGCTGCTGCAGCACGTGGGTCGGTGACCTGCTTCAGTTCTCAGCTTTCTTTTACAAGCCACAAGACTGATTTCACCTCACTTGGTTTCAATCTCCAGCGTAGTGCACCTTGAAGGGCATTTTCTGTTTCAGGACTGTGTTCTCTACAGGAAAAAGTATCCAGGCAAAATAAAACGTGACAGGCAATGTGAGAAGGAAAACAGAAGGGGGAACTGTACCAAGAGCCACCCGTGTAGCAGGTCACATTGACACGCTAGACTTTTCAACATAGGAGAAAGGGGAAACTGCTCCTTGTTTTCGCATGAAGCAACAGCAGCAGTGAACAGTTTTCAGACGGGTTTTGACTTAATCACAGGCTTGGATCTTTTTCAAAAGAATCACTAGCTACTGCCATACAGAAAAGGAAACAAAAAGCCTCATCCCAATCAAATCTGTATCAGCTGTGAGCTACTTAGAGAAGACTTCCTCTCATCCCCTTCTCTGCGGAGCCGACTCCTCGCTTTGGGAGCAAGGAGCAGAACACAGGCAGCGTGTGTCACTAAAAGGTGAATACCCCAATGATCACAGGGAGTGCATCTGCAAGAGGCAGCGCTTCTCCAGGGTGTTACATACAACAAATCTGCAAGAACGAGGTCCGGTTACACAGCACAGCAGGAGCAGATAACAGTGGCTTAAAAGCAGCTCCACATCCCGGAGCTGCCGCGGGCGCCCGGAGCCGCGCGGGATGGATGCGGCAGAGCCCGGGGCACTCCACGCTGCTGCGCAGCCCCGGGGGCCACGATGCGCCGAGGAGCAACAGAAAAGCCGCTCTCGTGACTCAAAGCAAATATAAGAGGCCTTTTATACTCCAGCTGTTCTTCAAGGCACCGTTCTAGCCTGCAAGTGTAACAGCAGGACAATTTTAGGCAGTGGCAGCCGTAAAACTAGCTGCTTTCCTGCAGGTTACAAAATGCAGCCATTGCATGCTGCTAGCAATTCAGAGAAACAGGCCTAAAACAGTTCCTAATGAGAGAGCACTTAGGGTTTCCAACTGCAGAGTAAGCTCTGCAGCAGCAGGACTGTGCTGAGTCCGTGCAGCAGCGGGGTCTGTGTCTTTCCTATGCAAGACCAACTAATTTTATGGAAATTCGTTTTATAAATATTTAGCAGTGCAGTCAGTCTTTCACAAGAGATGGCTGAAGTCGTCTTCCAAAGCCGGCCTGGCCACACTTCAAAGGCAAGAGCTGACACTTCTCTGACAACACGCAGGGTTTGAGGCTTGTATATTCCCATTTAGACGACAGCCTAGCCAGTTTGCACCGTTAGAGCCATTTAGGAGTCAAATGTACTGTCTGGCAAACAAAGTCCTCAAAAGCCTAAATAATGAAGTCAGCCAAGTGCCCTGGTGGTATAATAATTTAGATTCCTATTTTAGGCTGAGTTTCTATTCACAGAGCTATTAATGGGGGTGGAAGGAGTTTTTCAGTTTGATGGTTGTTGTGATTAACAATTTCCATGCGATATCTGCGACTCGAGTAAGATGGGGCTGCCACACCGGTGTGTAATGATATGAAGCCACCAAGTCTGTTCTGCTSAACTCAGAGCAGCTCGTCCGCGGTGTCCGCATTACAGCTCCTGATCCCAGCGTGCAGGGATGATGCAGCACTAGCTATAATGGTAAAGGCTGCTAAATATTGCCCGCAGCACTGAGGTAGCCTAGATTAAGAAATAAACACAGGCACGGAGGGATACATAAATAAATAGATAAATAAAAATCAAGACCTAGGACTGAATGTGCAAATGAGAAATACCAAATGCCTCTGCTAGGTGGAGATCAGCACAACAACCCTGTGAGTAACCAGCCGAACCCTCGGGCCGTTCACAGCCTACACAGAGGCTGCAGCTGAGAATTTCTTTTGCTGCATCTCGCAGTTTGGTGATGCTGCTGGCGGCACAGACCAGGGAGCATCCAGAACACAGAACTGTATCCTGGGACAGGCATTGGCTCTGCTGAGGCACCCACAAGCTGTGACAGGCAGCTCCAAATCTGCATTTCACATTCAAACAGGTTTTTACCGATCCTCCCTGCCAAACCCTAGTCCTCGTGAACACAAAACTTGGCCAAGCATTTCCATATTCTTCACATAACTAACCTGTGCAATCCCCCCACATCCCCATACACCATTTAACTAGGCTTCACTTAAACAATCGTGAGGGAATCACTTTATTTAGGTAATTTGTCCCACAATAAAGGAATAGTTCCCGGGGGATATGTAATTCATACTAGAGGATGAAAGTATTGTTTAATAAAAGAGCAAGGATGGAACAGGCACATTCCACTGCTGCCAATTCCCATCCTTTTACTGGATGGTCTTGGATGGGTCATCTAGGCTCTGTTCCTTGTGTAGATAAGGAAAACCGAGGAACAATGATGCTTAACTGATGCTGCTGTTTTACATTTTAGATCCAAGATCAGATTGTGCTTTATCGGCAAATTGTTCAAAGGTGAGCTGTGAGAGAATACACATAATGTAGGAACACTGCAAAGGTGTGCCCCAAGGCCCAAGACATTGGTAAGTACAATGCAAAGTTATTTTAAAGGATTTTTTTAAAAGAATTAACTCATCTTTTTTCAAAAACAAATTAGGAAGTCCCAGCTAGAGGACTGCGTATAGCAACAAAACTGATGAAATCAGGAGTTGATTTCTGAGTGGCCTTGTCAAAAGAAGAAAAAAAAAARRGGGGGGAAAWKGRWTTTTTTTTTTTTTTTTGAGCAAGGCAATTCCCAGAACACCTGACTCTTATGAATATCCCCTTTACCATTTCTGGCTACCAGAGATTTTCCTAATCAGAACTAGGTGCCTTTTTCCCCCAAAATTACCCGAAATCAGGCATACCCCGTATGCACCASTATATCCATGGGGGTTTCATCGCCCACAGGGCACATGCTTCTGAAAGCGCAGGGATTTAACAGGTAAAGTGCAGCAGCCTGAGCATGGCTTTCAGGCAGTCCTTACGGAACATGTGCGTCAAGGTGCAGGTGGCAGCGCTGTCACCGTGAGCGGGCGCAGGGCACAGCGGTGTCACCGTCACCGTGAGCGGGCTCCAGGCACAGCAGTGTCACCAGCACCGTGAGCGGATCCAGAGCACAACGGTGTCACC